ACAGTTGATAGTTCCAGGCACTCCAGGTAAAGGTGGGTATTTGGCAGCTCTGTCCGGTTGCGCTGCTCTTTTTTTCTACCGAGGGTAAAGATGTTAAGTGTTGCATTGCAGCAAGACCCATCGCTGAAGGGCCTGGAAGTGCCAGTGTTGCCTAGAAAAACGCACTTATTTCCAGCGTTTGTGGACTACTACAAACTTATCTCGCGAATGATGGTTAACACACACGCTGTACGTATTGTCAATGCTTTGACCCACTTGACGACTTGCACTTTACTCGACCAAAAGCAAGGTCATTTGATAAGCGGGACACCACTGCCGGGCGCCACGAGGGGATAGGAGTCATGCCCCCCGGACACACATCCATATATCTGGGAAATAAAGAGATCATTATGTATAATTTAACCAAAAGTAATTGAAGCTGTCATTTACAGAAGCTTTTAAACGCCCCTGACTCGAAACTCGGGTCGCAAATAGTGTGGATGACAGAGTTTTTTTCCAGCTCATCTCTTAATGTCTTTCTGTTCGCATCTAGCCCGTTCGAAATTAGGATGTGAGCGGAGAAGTAGCTGCACAATCTCAACAATCAATTTCTGTAGACACACGCTTCTTTTAACTGACTTTGGGCGCTCTAACATAAAACTGGGGATATTCTAACGCCCATACATGCGTAAGTTATTAAATTGACGAGGTGTCGGCCGTAGCCAAAACGCAGCGTCCCAAGCATGTCACTGTCTTGGCTTACCCGGCGATTGAAAAGGTGTTTCGAAGCCTGGTGCATCTGGGTCTTTCCAGGGATAAAACGCAGTATGCAGAACATGTAAAGACAGATACGGCGATGCAGCTGTCGAACCCACGCCAATGCTACACAGCTGGTCTGTACCTGGAGCATGTGCTGGGGGAATGGTTATCTTCAACGCCAGACCATCATTATCGTTTGATTGGTTTAGCAGCAACACATCAAGCGGCTTTGCTTGACTTGGTCTGTAGTTGGTGGGACGGAAAAGTTTTTTTTATCATATACCTCACTGTTTCCGACTGACTGGGGCGTGCCGGTGACATACCTGTAGAAACCCTGACTTTTTGTTCTACGTCGAAATCGTCGGACAACCTATGCATTTGCACCTAGCAGCAACATGTTGTCCAAGCCCACGTTTACTTGGACTGTGGCTTTAACGCTTGATCTACTAGGCATGGTATGTACTGGGATCAAGGAATTGTTATAAAATACCGGGTCCGCTACAAAATTTAGGCTCTGTTCTGCAGATACCTTGCAGAAGTGGACAATATCCATTCTAATCCCCTTGCCGGTAACAGTTGAAGGAACGAGCATCATCCAGAACCCGGTACCGCGACTTTGCCACAATCTTTACCTTACTTTGACCTTTATTTTTTGATCGCTGGATTTGGACGCTCTACAAAGCTCGACAACCGATTAACGCATGATACAACGCATTACATAACGCTGCACCAAGGGGAAGATGGCGTGCACTGAAGGTGTCCGTGTGACCCATCCTGATTCTTGACGCTGGATCTACCGATGAGCTGCAAAAGTTAAGACTATAAATGCGGGAGCATTGCCACGTCATCGCGGCACTTATACACGGCTGCCTATATATTCGTGGGTGGTCCCTTTCAGTATGCCAAATTGGTTCAACCCAGCGGCGCTAAAACGGTAATTGTTTCGGCTTCACAAGAATGGGCTGCCCCGTTCTCTCGGGATTTCTTATACCGACTATAAGTATCGGCGGGGAAGGGCGAATGAAAATAGACAGTACTTGGTCAAACAGCTCATCAATTATGGGACCGTTGTCAGAGTCTCACGGCCTTTTAATTCTGGAAAAGGTATCGAATTGCGACCCGGTATCTCACCTTGCACCACGCAGGGCGATTCAAAAACAACACTTACTATCCATCTCTGACCAGCTCTTTGATCCCTTGTTGCTGACTTCATGGCTTAGGCTAACTATATATCTCGCACATAGTTGATTATGTGTATATAGACTCTCTGACCTTAAAAATACATTGACGTCATATTGTTATGATTGTAGGTAATTGGTGAGCGAAACGTACAAAATATTGATATGGGTCTTTGTATTAACATCATGTTACCTTGATATCGATAAAATTCCGCTTAATTGACAAAACACTGCGCATCAGCTGACACAGGTCATTATACTATCCGATGAAGCCACTTATCGAAGGCAACGTGCCCAATGGATAGTTAGTAGGCACTTACCATACATAAGTGTAGATATATACAACTGAGGCAGGCGTACAATCGATGGTGTCATTCGATTTCAATTACTCTCACTTCCATGCTATCTTGTCTTGTGTTTCGTTGCCTCGTCATTACTCGCACAACAGTGTACATGAGGTCCAGTCATCAGTCTACAATGTTGTTAGTAATGTTTATCGATCATATCTTGTCAAAACAAGCAGAATTTTCCCCTCATTTTTTTCGGAATAATATATTTACTGTCTGGACGCTTTTTTGAAGCTAAGACTCGGTCAGCCAATGTTATTCATTACAACTGCCGGATGTACCCGAGAGTCCGTATATTTCCCTACGATGTCGTCGCCTATCTCTTTGATAGTACGGCGGTGATGTGCCGAAAAAAAGAGAAGTTAAATTGACCTTTGAGATGAAAATTGCGTTTCATGACCAAGGATCCCGACCGTGAGATGTATTGATCGGCCACTACGAATGGTTGGGGACATCGTTCACATAGTTTGAGACACTGTCCACAGCATTACCGAACAAAATCATGAGGACAACATCACAGTATCGTTGTGCAGATAAACGCCAATAAAAAGTGTAGTGAGAAAAGACGTGTCGGTTTTTCTACCAGTGCTACGTCAAACGTGCAAAAGATCGAATCAGAGAATTAATAACGACGCCTTATGTCCGCTAGCGCACAATGAAGGAGTTGCTTATGAGATAATAAGAGTAGTATGTCATTAGTTCGAAAGCTGCAGAGTTTGCGAACGTGCAAATAGTCGGTAAATGATGGGTGTACACGTCATCTGGTGTCAATGGTGTTTAGTACACTGCCCGCACTCAGCTGACTGATCCTACACGATAGCATTTTCACCGCTATGTGTGCATTTGTGAGGAAGCAATGCATCCGCTATAATCAATCTCGTTAGACGTTGACCAGTCAAACACTTTTATTCTTCCAAAAAGAGAGGTAGTGTATGCTGTCTGATGGAACTTGTACGTGTCCCAAGTTCAGAAGCTCTGTGTCGACTTAACATGTGTTACACATAGGTGGCTTATAGCTTGTAGCGAAATGTGCGCAAATTGTATGCAATTAGAAAATGAGTAATCAGCTAGCGTTCGATCAGAGCATCGTTAGGCTTGTACAGTATACAGGCATCTAAAAATTGAGTTGCAATTTGTCAAACTAGCAGCGGAAAAGTCTGTTGATAGCGATTTTGAGTTGTGGTTGAGCGAGGTTACTTTCCGAGTAATCATTGCCATCTGGTCCGGCTGTATTTCAGTCACGACACAGCACGGCGGCCCGGTAATCGAACTAGCCGAGAAGTAACTACTTGTCTCGCTGAATGGTCCTGGTTCCTTCGTTCTCGAATGCGGCATCTGATATACTACTTCGAAGTCGCTCAAGTATCCATTCGTCTGCGCTAAACGAGATCGTAGGTGAGGAGAACCGTGCCCATCGGTCGACAATCTTCGTTGGGAACACAAGCTGGGATGCTCGGATCTTGCATAATCTGTAGGAATCCAATAAACCCGAAAAGAACAAGAATTCATAGCTAGCCCATACATCGCAAGCAAAGCCAAACATGTCGGCTAAATGCTGAAGTTTTCTAGATCTGCTCAATTCTATACTTCGGAAGTTTTGGAGTGTCGTGAACCGTTTCTTAAGCTTCTGCGGTGCATCAATCTGTTCTTGTGTTCAATGAGCTTTAGCCGATCATATGGTGAAGTCCGCAAGTTACTACAAATTCTATCGGGGCGCCAAAGTTGTTGTTCGGGACGCCAAGTTATTGTTCGGGATGCGCAAGTTGATGTTTAGTGTCACGCTTACACATGCAATGAGCACGCACGGTATCGAAGGATGTATGTCAAATAGCTCCGAGATAATGCGGGCTGTATAAGGAACCAGACAGGCGAAATTGCAACGCGTTAGAATGAAGACCACCACGTGTCAGCTTATAGTGTAGTCATGGGTATTAGCCACCAAGCACTTGTGTAGGTTCGTTCGCTGGACAACCCCTTCGTGACCTGATGATACCCACCTTGTAGCTCGCAACTATGATCACAGAATACTGACTCCCGCTGTGTGGTCAAAAGCTTTCAATTGTGATCTCTTGAACTAAACCAACAAGTGTGCACTTGTCACAGTAACACAGTGTGGCGCTGATTGCGATGTACAGACGGCGACTTGAAGAAGCGGCTGCTTATACTATACAGACTTGGAGCAGCGCGATTGCTAGGTAGGCCCACTGGTATGACGTCCCTACGCTCTGGTTACGGTACTTTGGCGCCGATCCTTTTTGTCTATCCTTTCTTTTCGATAGGTCGGCGGCACTCGTAGCTCCTTTCGTAACAAAAAACTTGCAAAAGGAGTTCGCCTAATCGTCTCGACAATCGGTCGCTCATCCGACAATTACGCGACGATGATGAAAGGCTAATGCGGAGCTGCATTCGTCACCCAAACGATCGAAAGTGTGGTAGGCGCGGAAGACGGATAGGCACTGGCTTCAATACGACTGCTCTAAGCTTTTAGATCTCGTCCGGGCATTGTGGGCATTGTGGGCACGCACGCCTTATCGTATCATATAGCAGCTACTCAACGCCAAGGCACTTGTGAAATTCAGTGACAATCTCGTTGGTGCCACACACACACACATGGTCGTCTTAGCTGCAGAAATTTGCACGCTCTCGTCCCGTCCCACCCGCGAATGCTTTGTACATGTGCTCAATCTCCGTATCGATTCTCACCCGCACAAGCACACGCCACGTGGTCTCCCGCCTCTCACTTGTGCACCTCAAGCTTCCACTTGACGCCATACACACCCACCGACTGCTCGCCCTCTTCGTCGTAGTCGGCCCAATCGTCGCTCAGGTCCACGTCTTCAAAAACTGCGTGGCGGTCTTTCGACACGACGCGATAGCCGCTCTCGGGGTGCCACGCCGCGACCTCCAGACCCCGACACTCGAACGCGACAAACGGCACGAACGCACCCGAGTCGGCGCCCGTCACCTCACGCGTCAATTTCTTCACGTCGCGCATGACGGTCAGCTGCGACGGCTTTGACGCGCCCGGCCACTTGAGTGTAAAGTGCACGTGGCCACGACCGCCTGCCACGTCCACCTCGTGCTCGTCCGAGACCATAACGGCCTCGCGCGTCTCGTCGCTTCGCGGTTCTTTCACGTCGAGACACCAGCGGTGCAGCGGTGGGGCGGCCAGTGTCTCGACGTTCTCGAGCTCTGCCTGCACGTACAGCACGAACAACACCATTTTGCTCTGACCCCAAGAGCTCGTTACAACGTATGGGTACAAATGTGCACTTGGGTACACCACACAATCGACGCCGACGAGGTGGACGATGCCCTCGATAAACGCAATCCCTCGCATACTTAATGTCGCGCAGGTCGCTGCCGCGCCCGTACGATAGAAACGCAGCCTGCACACACCGATTGAAAGACGAGGCATTTCTAAGCAGAGGCACACGTCCTCCTACTGCGTACTTAACGACTGACCTCTTACTTGACGGTCGATAGGACCCGGCGATCCAACATGACGACGGCCGGCGGCTCGACGCTGGACGACGTCTCTCCTCGCACACAGCAGCACCAGCAGCAGCGCGAGGGCTTTCGCCACCACAACAGCGGCATCGACGAGCGCATCCGCTCCAGCAGCGGCAGCTTTGCCGTCCCTGGCGATGACGACGCGTGCATGTCGAACGACGAGTCTATGTCCTCGTCTTCCTCGTCCTCGTCCTCCTCCTCCTCTGCCTCGTCGTTTGCCTTAGAGCTGCACGCGGGTCCCATTCAAGCGCCACCGCACGCACAGCTCGACAGGCATCGGACCAGTCGCGCGAATTCGCTCGAGGACTTTGCGCGGCAGCTGCCGTACCAACTGGACACAAGCAGTCGGCTCGCAAGTGGTATCCCGGGCGTGTCTCCGCAATGTGCAACGTCGTCGGTCCCCTTTGCTGCCATTGGGTCAATGGCCAGTGCCCTGAAGAGCGCACCGTCGCAGCCAATGTGGCTGTTGACCCAATTTGCACCGGCCATGTCCAAGACCAGTAAGAGCGCTGATCCCAGTGGTGATATGGAGGACGACGAGCCCTTTGACGAAGAGACGGAACAACGTCATGTAGCACAGATGGCCACTTGCAGCACGACAGGTGACCACAAGAGCGATCGAGTGGGCAATCGACGTGTAGCGTGGGCGTCGTCGCTTGCGCACGTGGAGCTGCCGGAAGGCGTGCGGCTGACCTGTGCTCGGAACGAAGTGGCCGGAGTGCAGCTACGACTGAAGTCCAATGTGCCGTTCGTACTCACGACGGACACGAGCAATTGGATGCTGCCGTTGGGTCATGGACCGAGGGCGCGTGTGGCTGTAGATACGAGATTCGTTCCGCCGCATATGCTGACAATCGAAGTGTTTATAGTGGGGTGTGTCGAAGATGAGAACGCAGATCTTGTCATGGAGACACTGCAACGCACGGGAGTCAGTAGCAAAGCGGCGAGGGAACATGCAGTGTACTTGCGAATTCGTGTCGCCGAGAAACTCGAGCCAGGGGTGTACGAATTGCCCTTGCGCGTGTATACACAGGACGCAGGGTTTCGAGACGAAGAAGTCACATGGTCGAGCAGCGTGGTCGTAAGCGTTGTGGATGTCCAGCTCCCATCGCCACAGAATTGGCGCTTTCGATTGGATTTATGGCAGCACTGGACGGCTGTAGCACGTGCACATTGTGTGGCGTTATGGAGCGACCGGCACTTTGAACTGATTGATCGGTACATGGCTCCACTCTCGGAAATGGGGCAGAAGTGTTTGTCGGTCGTAGCCACGGAAATGCCATGGGCAGGCCAACAGTGCTACATGGAAGAGCAAAATGCGTCCGCGTTGTTTGAACATGCAATACTGGATGTGTATGAAGACCCAGCACACGGAGTTCCGATCACAATAGACTTTACACACTTTGACCGACTGCTGGCGCTAGGAGCTCGTCATTACTTGGACCATGAAGTCGAGGTGTTTGGTCTCCTGTCCGTGTGGCGTGACCCAGCGGCAGGATTCGATGCTCCAGCTGAGCTAACTGTGCGCCACGTTCAGCCGCCTCCGGTGACAACTGGCCCCACTTCAGACGCGCATCGTTCAGCGTCTTCAGCAAGTTCGGGACTGACGTGTCCTGCCGTACCATCTCCGATTGGCGATCAACGACCCGATCAACTCGACCAAGATCAACAAAACAAACCTGCGTCACCACCGCCTTCTCCATCGACGTCAACTTCCCAAGCTCCGGCATTTGTGATCGACGGCTGGCGCATCAGGTGCCAAGACCGGACAACGCAGCGCGTCCGCTATCTGCGTCAAGTTTCTGAAGTCGAGACATTCATTGAGCAGTTCTACGCACATTGTGTAGCGTTGGAGATTGCGGACCGCGTACGGATATGTGCTGATGAACCCCGCGACGTAGCAGTGTTCCACGAGCAACTGCGCTTTATGGAACGCCTGGCTCCCAATTTTCGTCTCAAGCTGGCCGTGAACCACTCGGAGTTTTTCTCGCCTGCTTACGCTCCACCGCAAGTGGCGGAATACGTGCCTCTCTTACCTCTAGCCTGTGCTGATCTGGAGGTTACTCGTCGATTAGCCAATGATGCACGTGCTCGCGGAGGGCACGTTTGTTGGTACGTCTGCTGTGGCCCAGCATTCCCCAACCAGTTTGTGTCGTCGCCACTCGTCGAAGGCGAGCTCGTTGGATACCTCACATTTTTCTTCGAGCTAGATGGTTTCTTGCGATGGAATTACTGTCTGTGGCCTGCGCGGCCATGGGACGATCTCCGATGGCGCTCCTCGATGTGGAAAGTGGGTGACATGTACTTTGTGCTCCCTGGACATGACGGGTGGCCCGTCGAGACGCTCCGCCTCGAATCCATGCGATTTGCGGGCCAAGCTTTTGAGCTTCTCGTTCTCGCACAGGAGACGTTAGCTCCAGCCCAGATGCAACAGCTACAGCGTGCGGTTGCGGAGCAGATTCTACGATCGAGCGATCTGGAGGAGTTTGGCCGATATGCCGACCGCGCGCGTGAAGACTTGTACTCGCTCGACCCGCTAGACTACCAGCGCGCCAGGACGATTATTTTAAATACACTGGCCGCTGCAGCAGTCAAGGCTGGCAGGTCATGAAGAAGTAAGATGCATGAGCGGACTTCGAATGCATTTACTGGCAAGATATTGCACACAGAAAAAGGGGTAGAATAAGAAAACGGTAGACAACCTTGTTGGAGATGAAACGTGTCATGAACATTGACTACGCAAGTTAATGAAGAGGTGAGATACGTAGATCACATGACATCGGAAAATGTGAGATGCACGTCGTAAGAAATGAAATGGAAAGCGACGTTTATTTGTACGAGTTTACGACGGAGCCTATCGACGAAGAGATGAGGGAGACTCATATGGTGATGCATGTTTTTCTGTATCCACACGTTATTTCAGAACAGGTCTGTAAATTTTATAATCATCGTCGTCCCGGTTGCCATTCAACACGCAATGTAAACAAACAAAGTCCGATACTGGATGTTCATCATCGATGCCGATGTAGACGGCACTATGAAGGGGAATCCTAAAAGCAGTTATCGTCATTCTTTGACCATCACATAAACCACATGCAGTAAACAAAATACACAAGAAAGAAGTGGAGTGTCGCCTCAGAAACACAGGTGTATGTGTCCACATGTTTGTCCGAAGACAAAAGGGTATTCAGCAAGTATTGTAAGTATCCTCCCAGGCGACACACTCCAACAATCTCCGTCACACATATATATACACACACAATGATCGGTTGTTTCATCCATGTTCTAGGTGTTCGGTTTATCGACACGAAGAAGACGTCGGAACATACCGACGTCAACCATTTCCGAGTGGTGCATGAATAGTTTAATCATCAACAACAACAACAGCAAAGGTCACACACACACATATTACCATCGGGAGATATCGGCAGCTATGTTGATTCTGCCGCACATGGCACTCTGGACATCAGCGCCAGACACCTGACTCGCCGAAACTCATCAGACATCCGACGCCTTTGCCCAGAGCACAAACAGCAGCGGAATCCGTAGTAAGCTCGCCATCACTTTCGCTTCTGTAAAAAAGTACCGTTCCAATCACAAATGCCAAGACACCAAGCAATGACAGCGTCAGACCTCACCGCTTCACCTAACATCGAACTTTGCAGCGCAATCGAAGGAGTGCAATGAGAACTTTCGCTGTCCACCCGGCGAACTGCAGAATATTGTCGGCGTGGAGTATGAAGAAGCAACCACACATACATGATACACAAGTGCTTACACATACATACACAGCTTCGATACAAACATGTGAGGTCAGACCTTTGACTAATTTCATTGCCATTAGGCAGATCATGAACACGGACCAAAGTATGCGGTCATCAGTCCTCACTCGACGCAACTGCTACAGATAGAAAGCTCATTTTATGGGTGATAGTGATATATTCGATTCTTCACGGCTAGTTGGTTCAAGCCAAATCAGACACTGTCTTCATCATCGCTCTCCGATACAAACATACACATTCAAACACACGGACGAACTACTTCAAACAGATGGACTCAGTGATTGCATAAGTGATTCCGGATGCAGCTGCTTTCCGCACAGGTTTTGTGCTCAGAAGAGGGAGCTTGTGTTCTTCATCGTCCTCCACGACATGGCGAATCTTCGAAGCAGCGAACGTTGACAAGTGAGTGACACGCGCACGAAGGATCGAAGCCATAACGGCCTCACCCTCAGGAGGTCCAACCATTTTGTCGGCTGGTATCGAACCGAGTAATTACACACATCGGCAACTCCATTGGTAAGAGAGGCGTCTGTCTTTTTTACGACGTGGCTTTGTTTATACGAGCAGGGTACCACTCTTGCGGTACGGCCAACTTCGCTGGCCTCTACACGTTTTATTTAGCTCACAGACAGTTGCGGCCAGATGCCCAGTTCAGTCATATCGCGTACCCATTACAACTGGTAGTATCCTGTATTTTGTAATTCACGAGGCAAAAAAGCATCACTACACCCTCTGGACGGAGCTCTACAGCTCATGCGGCGCGAGTACACTCACCTCAGCCTCAAGTTCAATTCAACGACGCGGCTGCTGCTGCTGCCGGCAAGAGCAAGTGTGTCTGGATCCGCGAACTCACAACGTCTAAATCGTCCGGCGACTCGAACCGCATGAGGTAAGTCACTGGAACGACTCGCTTCTCCGCTTCCAGCTCCTCCCTTGTCTCCTCCAAAACTGTCAAAAGCATCGTCTTCTCTGTCTTCTTCTCGCACAATAAACAAGAGCGCAAACTTGTGTTAATCAGCAACTTCGTGCCAGGTCCGTGCGGGTACGACTCGCGCCGCATCACGAGTCGTGCTGTGTGTCTGTCCGTGTCAGCCTTTGCATCCTTCATGTTCAGCACTCGCAGTGGGCCAACGCCGACTTCTGCGTAGTCCTTCTCCACCAACTTAAACAGCTTGATGCGTTTCTATCAACAGACACAGTCACAAAGACAAGACGGCTCATGAGGTGAGTGCCTTAGCAACCAATACCACCGATTACAATGTGCCCGCACCTCGACCAACAACTGCTCCTCTTCTTCCCCGTTTGCTAGCTGAACGCATGACAAGACATCACCGTTACAACAACAATCTTTTATGCCAAGACATCACATACACGCTGTGCTGTACCTCGGCTTCGGAAAGCGCCGGTACAACAAAGTTCGGCTTCTTCACCGCGTCTGCATCCGGTAGAAAATCAGTCGACAACGATGCTGACGCTTTCTCGCCAAATCCCTCTGTCGTCGACTGCACTGCAGCAAATGACGCAAACGTCGCGGAAGAGTTGCTCTGAAACGACGCAAAGCCGCTCGAGCTACTCATTTTTGCAATTGACGCCACCGGCAAGAACGTCACTTTCTCAGCTTCTTCCACCGCTTGGTCTGCAGTCTTTTCCGTTCTTTCTTTCGCCACGGAGCACGACGTTATATCGTCCGATTCCTGGATCCGGGCGGGGGATGTGACCTGTGCTACAGCATCAGTGCCCCGAAAAGCACTAAAGCCGCTAAAAGCACTGCTGCTGCTGCTGGCGTGACCATTGGCTCCTGTGACATCATCAATTTCATTGGCAGGTTCTGCGTCTGCCTCCTTATCTATCACGGGTGACGTCGTCAACAACGTGTCCTTCTTCACTGCAGTCTGATACAAATAAAACTCGTTAGCGTCAAATGTCGAGTAGGTGGTCGGTCGATCGGTCGGTCGGTCGGTGGGTCTCTAGCGTCAAATACGGACCTCGTGGCCGCCAACTTCAGGTTGTGGAGCAGCACTGTCGTCGATTTTGACCTTTTTGACGTCCTCGGTGACCTTGGCGTCCACATCGAGCCGCACCTTTTTGACAATCTGTCAGCAATACGATACGTCAAAGTCAGGCGGTGCCGTCCTTTCGGCCACCCGGAGCGTACAACGCATGGACCTACCGGCTGGTGCTCGTCGTTGAACGTCTCTGGCTTCTCGTGCTCGCCCTTGGTAGCCATGGGAGAAGACGCTGTCTCGCTTCGTAGCCGGTCGACCGGTCGATGTCGTTTGATCGTTTGCCGCGCGTGTTCGACTGGAATTTGGCTGGTCGCTGTCGTCCATTGGACGATATGTGCCCGACGTTTTCAGCCAATCCACACGAGCGATGACAGATTTTGTAGGTAGAGCTAGAACCACAGATGGCCATCGAGCGAAAGAGATGCACTTTGCAGCAACTTGCATGCACGATTGGTACGGTGGTCTGCGACGTGACATGCATCACGCACGCGATATGATTCGCTATCGAAGGATGCAGTAAGATTTCGCGTTCGTCAAGAATCTGTGCCGTGCAATGATTAGGCAGAACGTTAGAGTCACGTCTCGTGCATATGGTTGAGCTGGAGGTCGAAGCAGCTAGGAAATTGACTTGAGGTTAGATGGCACAGGAGACTGTCGTGGCACAGAAGCGACTGAAAGATGCGGACATCGCACTGGGCGTTATCGTCGCTGGTTCAGTAGTAGTTAGTCTTGCAAGAAGCTTTGGGTAACCGAAAGAATGGCGATACTATCGCTGTTGCTTGTTGTAACGGTGATAGAGGGCTGAACGATTCGAGCTTTATACGAGGTCGCAAAGGTTGGAATGCAGAGCGTTTCCGTCTTTTTTTTGTCATCGCCTACAAGTGCAAGTAGAACTATGCAATGCTGCAGCGGTGCACCCCCGAGGCGTTTGGCTCTGGTTTAAGCCAGCGTGTCCACACTCCTTCACTTCCAATCGCTGTTTTTGATCCGATTCGCCACCAATCCATTGTCACGTCGGGTCCGACTTGTGCGCGATATAGCGGACAAGTACCACTACGCTCAGATCCGCGCTTGCTCTTGGCTCTGTCACTCGATAGCTTCGCGCAGTCGATCGGTTTCGACGACGCGATCGCAATCGCTGTCGTAAGAGGAAGTGCTTGTCTCGCCGGTATGTGCAGGTCAATCGCCTGTCTGTCTCAGTTATTCGTGGCCCATGTGATGTCATCACACCTAGCGTTGCTTTCATACTAGCTGGTAGTGCTCGATACCCACGCCCGTTGGCGATACGACCTTTTACTTGCAAGATACCGTATATCAAATCGAAAGATCTTGTAGGATACGTCGATGTTAGACTGGGCCGTTGCAGTTCTGTTTGTAGTGCACCACGTGTAGGAGATCGATCGACGGGATATGCGTTGGACACAGTGCGTACACAAATATAGAGTTGCACGAGAAGAAGACAGCAACACACTGCAGCTTCGATGTTGCATGAGAACACCGAAACATGATAACTCGGAATGATGTTGCTAGCTCGTTGGACGACGCTCTCGTCCGCTCGAATGTGTATCACAATAGACGCTAAGATCGATTGATACAAAAAGCAGGAGCGAGAGTGAAATTCGGGACGCTAGTCTGTCCTGGATTTCACTGGAGAGAACCAACTCGTTTGGCTGTGTACAGCGAACAGCTTTGACGGTGGGGGTAACTGAGAAATTGCGCTGGCACTAAACGACTGCAGGTTGCGTGATAGAAGATGTTCTGTCAATATCTGTGTCGTGAGGGCATCGTGCCGTTCGTCGTAGCTTGCGCCGCCTCCACACCGCTTCGTCGAAAGCATATTTGTGCACATTCAATAAGTTGCTTCGTAAGTATATTGCAATGCATTCGATAACGTGCATCGTAGCTTCCAATCACGCAAGGTTTCAATTGACGTGTACATACCGACGAACAAGTTGTCATTTAATGCAATATCGCGAGACTTTACAAGCACTGACTCACCTGAAGATTTGCCATTCAGAAGCCACGTGTTGCAGCTACGATCAGTGCCTACGAAAAAAGTTTGTGACGATCAAGACATTTCTTTTCTGGATGGCATGTTTGCTCCATCTTGTGTCGAGAGTGATATACCTACCACGGCGAGTCACACAAACAAAAGCTCGTTGTGTATGTTCATGAAGAGAAACCTGTCAGAAAAATAGACCCCTCTGGATGGTCTAGTTTCCGAACCCATTCACAAAGTCATCGATATTGAGTTGCTACCGCTTCCTTCTCTTTCCATGAAGTTCATCCTGGCCAGGCGGCCAGTCCTTGCTTCATTTGATCGCATAGGTTAGCCTCATGCGTGGGTATATGGCCGGTCAGGTCAGACTTCACTCTGGGTCAAACCAAGAACCTCTCGATATGCTCGAGCACACCGAAAGCGACGTTGCCTGCAAATGATGGTCATGTCGCCCGTCAAGAGAAGCCGGAGAAGAAGTACTGAATCGTGCAGATATCCCATGTTGCAACTGCTTTTGCGCAACTGTATATATTTGTACAGTGCGAGATGCAGATGGTCTGTGTCGCCAAAAACTTGTAGCCATTACGACATGCACAACATGTCCTGTGCATCGTGCCAGAGGGATGTAGCGCGATGCATGAGCACGTCGCATTGCTTTGGTTTGTCGCCGAACGCTAAACAAGTACTTGTCGTCTCGAGGAGACACATGCGACTGTAAATGTTCCAAAAACAAGTAGGCAGTAGCCTCTGCGCCCGTGTCGAAAGTACTGCGTCGTGTCAGACCGCGCAATGGAAGTGATCGTCCAAGTCACTTCCTATGACGCGCTATGCGAGAGCATCAAATAGTCCGAGCAGTCCATGTCATGCTGTGTCAAGTGTTAAGAGGTATGTTCTTGACCGACTCGGGTCCTTGCGAGTGACATATGTGCATTGCCTCCATCCGCGCGCCTGACCTGTTCGTCTCAGATTTGCCTATGTGCTTCCGAGTGACTGGGGCTCATGTGCTTCGCCGCTACAATAAATGCATGTCAGTACTTGCGGCGTCAAGCACATCACATCGGATAGCGCAGTCCAAAGCTCGTGGATGGAAGGGACAGGAACGCAAGTAAATCACCGATTGAACTTACATCTCCTTGTCGAAAGTATTGACACGATGGACTGCTATTCCTGCAATTTGCCCACGCATGATAAGTACGTGACAAGTTTTGTTGTGCTCGAAACACATTGGACCTCCAGTCTCTTGGACGGCAAAAACATACCGAAAGACTGACGCTGTACTGATCCTCTGCGCAGATCAATTCACCTGGACGTCATGTAGACCAAAATCGTGCTAGAGCTGTTTTGCTCTCACTTGCTTGACTTGTGAAAACTAGCACCTCTTTCGCCACATGACGGAGCGCTTTGCCGCGGCACTGGGCTCGATGCTTCGTTTCGGTCAGGGGTGGGTCGATTGCCACGCGGACACTTGCGATTCTTCACAAATGCTTCTTACGGTACGATGTGTCCTTCTCTAATATACGAAATCCACTGAGCTCTGAGGTTGGCGTTCATTGATCTCTTTTTTTATTTCCGCCATGTGCAGTGCTTCTTGGCCAGAAGGTGCAATTTGAGTTTGTTGAGATGCCGTTGTTCAAAACTTGGCTCGCTCTTAGCATAAGTAGAGTGCGTATGCCACATCATCGTCACTGACGGAATATTTTGGCGGAAAGAAACCTACTGAACCATAGTTGGAGGGTAACTGGGTGCTATGTGAGCTGCGATTATCAGTGGGAAGCCGCGGAACACTTACAAGCAGTCCAGCAACTTTCCTGCTGCTTATAATTGTTTTTTGGCCCACGTTGCGCGCTCGGCTCTCACAGCTGATATTCATGCGTAGATAAGGCTATGAAGGCCAAGTCCTGAGAAAGTGATCGGTAAAGTCGCTAAGGATGGAGGACTTAGAATGGAAGTCTGCCTATATCCCACTGGCACTTTCTCGTTGTTTGTTACATCGAGACACTGATCCTTCTCAAAGAGAACTTCGGACAAAGTTGCGACTTCCAACGCAAGGGATGCAGCAAAACGAACGGATCGATAGATGGATTGGACTTGGTAACCGTTATCAGCTCAACGTTGATCAAAGCTCATGTACTGCCTAGTCCTCGCAAAGATATTGGCAGCCGTTTGCACCGAATGCCTCTGCACGTGTTGCAAGAGAGCTTGTCTGTACCGACCTGAATGGACCGCTAACCTCTGTAAGTCGCTAATCAGAGCTGGTCCTTTTCCTCCCATATCTGCTACCCGACACAAATTGTGACGACAACCTTTGTTCGCCGGCGCACAAATGCCTCAACCCCAAGAGTATCCCTTTTGACAAGCTTTATGCATCTCAGACCACAACAACCCAAAACCACTAAACAACACACGATTTACGGACCACGCGATCGCAGTTCATGACCAATTACAGCTGTGTGATTTTTCGATCGCTCGGCTTGCCATGCAGCATACGACACAGGCTAAACTGAAAGTATCCCTTTCTTATGCGACTCGTTATGCGTCCCCACGTCCACCCAATCAGCGCACCAGCACCATACGAGCTCCTACAGCACTCAGTCCCACTTTCCGCTCAACAAAACAGTCCGTCCACCCAAATTATCCGTCCCCCCAAATTATCCGTCCATCCAAATTATCCGTCCACCCAAACAGTCCAAGCGCACAGAGCCCGTGGTACGTCTCTGAACATGCGTCACTGGCAGCGGACGCTCAAGCAGCCGCTCCGCTTCGCCGGTGTCGGTCTGCACACGGGCGAGCAAATGTCCGTCTGCGTTCTCCCAGCGCCGACCGGTTCGGGTATCGTCTGCCGCTCCACTGTCGTCCCGCGCGCGCCATTTCCAGCGCTGATCGCGAACGTCAGCACTGCCGCCAGTCAGCTGTGCACTCAGCTCGCAGCCAACGGGTGGAGCGTCTCGACTCCCGAGCACCTCATGGCAGCGCTCGTGGCCTCTCGAGTCTCGAATGCGTTCGTCGACGTTGACAGCCCCAGCACACGTCCGGTCGCAAGAGTCGAAGTGCCAGTGCTGGACGGGAGCAGTGCTGAGTACATGGCCGCTATTCAGAGCGTGGGCGTCGAGGCCCAAGAAGGGGCCGCGCTCACGTACCTCTGCATTAAGCGGCCAGTGCACGTGTTCCAGAACGACAGAAAAGTCGCGTGCTTCTTGCCACTGCCAATTGACGGACGAGCTCCGACTTTGCACCTCTCGGTGCACGTGGAGTTCGAGCACAAGCAATTGCGCCCGACGCTGTGTCGCTTTACTTTGGATGCAGATCCCGAAGTGACAATGGGCGCGTTCCATCGCGAGATCGCACCGGCCAGGACGTTCACGTTCGAAGACGAGATCGAGTGGCTCCGAGCGAATGGCTTGGCACGTGGTGGATCGCTCGACAATGCCGTCGTCTTCTCAAGCCAACAACAGCGAGAGGACTCACGACCGAATGTTCTGAATGCAGGTGGGCTACGCTTCTCGGACGAATGGACGCGCCATAAGATGCTTGACTGCATTGGCGACATTGGCCTTGCAGGTCTTCCCCTGCACGGATACTTTTATGCTTCAAGACCGGGCCATGCGTTGACCCATGCATTGCTACGGCAATTGTTCAAAGATCCTGAAAACTATGCGGAAATGTCGTAGCAAAACAAGGACACAGGAAGGAGAGTACGGATACCGCGTGAGAGAGGTTTGCATGTTGGCAGGTGTCTTTTGCGGATCCAGGTCAACGTCAGCAGTTGATGGGGTTGCGATTGTCCTTCTTCTCGAGATAGCATTGATGTGCAGGCTCAAGTTCGTGTGTCGTGCGCGATTGTTCGAAGCGGTGTCAAAAGCTGTCACAGTGCTCGCGTTCCTGCTTAACATCGCGGCTCACGTTGTGCCACTCGCGCTTTCCGTATCTTCAGGTCTTTGACATTGCACCGCGTGGCTAGCAGGAGACACGTGTTACAATAACAGCGGGATGCCACCTGCGTCACTGCAAGACTCGCATCGTCCGAAAGCTCTCGCTCTTCCAAGTTTGGGCAAGCGATACTCAAAGGCCTATCACCATGCGGAAAAAGTTTTGTCGAGGACGTTTTCAAGCTACCTTGACTACGCGTCGACTATTGATTGACCACAGTGCACTGAAGGCGCCCGAGTGTCGTGTCAATGTCGTCAGCAAGTCAAAAACAGTGACGGAAAACTGGTGGAGTCACTGGTGAGGTCCCATGACGACGAAGAAGTGGCATTTGTTTCGACCGAAGAGTTCTTGACAGAAATGCAGTATACGCGAGCAGTAAAAGCCATGCGAGACGCTTTGATGATGAGATGGACGGAGAGAGGACTGGCCCCAGCAAAGTGATGGAAGAATGGGGCGGAGCGTCAATTCGTGAGCTGTAAGCGCGCTACGTGAAGCTGCTGCTGAAAGAAAAATCAGGTGACGTACCTGCTTGATGATAGAATGGATTGAAGACGTGTCGAACGCGAAAAGCATCCGAAGTATAAGCGTTGGAAGCGCAGGTAATCCCGCAACACCTGCATGCAGAGTGCTTGCTACGAGCCAAAGTCTGAAGGTCGGGAGGTGGGAAGGGGGCATCTAGATGTGTTGCTGCAGCGCGTGAAGAAGAAGAAGGTGAGTCGATCGACCTGCTTGAAACGATATGGTCAATGTCAGCTTCTAATGGTATGTGCCATGAATCAACAGATTTTACATCATGCTAACGTAGACAAAATGGATGGAACAACGTCACAGCAAGCTCTTTGAGTTGACGAACACGATCACGACACAAGCCCCGAGTTTGCAATAGACCGCCTATCCTGCGTAGACGCATAGGCCGCCAACGAGTCGTTGATGCTGCTGCGGGTGCAACGCAGGCCAGTGCTGGCTAGAAGCGGTAGAGCGGTGTAATATCCGTCTTCGTACTCCGGCTCAGCATAATAGCCGTCATCTCCATCGTGAGCAGTATCAAGCCAGGACATGTAAACGGGCTTTCAAGTTGAACCCAAGCATCCTGCACGCCCACCAACAACCACACTCTACCGCTTCCCGAATTTATCCAAGTCGTCGCCCATGTCAATTCGACACTTCCATGACCCCAACCGACCGATCGGCCTTGTCAGTCGTCCACCCACTTGCGCTGCAGGATCTCGTTGGGTACATTCTTGACTTGCTGAACAGGGCTCAGCTGGTCTGGAAGCTGTGTACGAGCCTCATTGGATGGCCTACCTCGAATGTCTTCTTCACGTCACCCAAGGATCCACTGTTGCGTTATCCGTGATGAAGACAGGGCGAGCAAGCATGCAATCTATTACACACACGACTGGATCCAGACGAGTCATATCCATTCGCACACCCACTCACGATACTGTCTCGATCTGTGGCTACCGCCGTACGTGTGGTTGGCGACAGCGTCGAGATACAACAATTGACATGCTCCGCTACCAGTGAGCCTGGTAAAATGTTGCAATGGTAGAGCGTTCAACGAACAGCCTCGAGCGCAATGGTGTGCAGTGCATCGGCGATGTGGCGCTTGGCATTCGCGAACGATGGACAAATAATACCAACTGAGGTCAGTTCTACTGACGAGTTGGCTGACTGGATCAGAGCCTGCGGCAACACCATCAGCTGAGGACACAAGCAATGACGAAATGTGCGACGGCGTGCGATCGTGAAGACCGCACTGCACGGCAGACAGACAGATGTCGTTGCCAATGTGAATGCACAGCACGATGAGTAGGCACAGTCGAGCCGCAAGCAAATTCGTCCTGAGCGCGACAAGTCGCGATCCTCCGCCTCGTTCACTGTTACAAATCCATTGATGTTCGTGTCGCGATGGCTCATGCCGACACGACGGTCGCCTGCACTGCCTCGTCTTCTCCACTGCTGTCACTGCTGTCACTACTACTGCTGGATGCGTCCAACTCGTCCTCCAGTGGGCTTTTCCGTGGCGCCAGTCCCTCGTTCTTCTCGAGCAGCTCCCGGTCCACGAGTCGAGGCAGGGCCAAGTCCACGTAATACTCTTCCGTCAGCAGAGCATCGGCCACCTCGTCCACGTGCGTTATCTCCCAACCCATGACAGTGCGTCTCCGGATCTTGCGGTAGTCACTCAGCAGCGGCTCCAGGGCCCTGTACACGTCAATAGGTTTGCCCACCAGTCGCAGGTACACGGCGCCTAAGACGGTCACATATTTATAGTCCTCGTTCTCGATAAATTGCTGCACGACCTCAATTTCCGGCTGCAGTTGGAGCATTTTGAGCAAGAGACACAAAAAATGGGTCGGTTGTTGATTGCCACCAAAAGTGCCGCCAAATTCCGACAGCTCCACAGCTTTGTCCACGAGCGTCTCCGCCGTGAGACCAAAGCACTGCTCTTTCCAGTAGACACTCGCGTAGATGCGGTTCCGCATGATCTTCTCGATGAGCGTCTGCGGGTTCACGCCATGTACGCTCTGAGCGCCGGGGTCGGTCGCATTCATGGTCAAAAGGTTGGCAATTGACAAAATGTGCACTTTGTGTAGTGCAAATCGAGCACAAGCACAACTAGAGAAAACCCCCGAGTGGCCTCGCAAACTCGATCGCATCCGTTTTATCAACATAAAACCTCCAATCGTTAATATTCCCATTGGAACCAAGCGAAAGCGCGTAAAAAAAGAGCTACTGGTGCCGCCGCGACTACTACTACTACGATGGCGAGCGCAGTGATCGACCGGTGCGGGGCAATGCTGACCAAGGGCGTGCTAGTAACGGTGCACGACCTGTATGGCGGATCGTTGCCGCTACGGACGCTCGAGGCGTATTTGCACGCGGTGCGGCGCTTTGACGTGCAGTCGTTCCGCTACCGACCGCGGACGGACGACCTGGCTACTTCAGGCAAAAGTAGTAGTAGTAGTAGTAGTAGTAGTTGCTGTTGTTGCTATTGTTGTTGTTGCTGTTGTACCTGATAGTTGCAGACGCAAACGTGCTATGTCTCGCTCACATTTGTGGGTGTGGGTGGTACAATGATAGAGCTGGCCACGTTTCTAAAGAGCCAAAAGCCGCATACGACAGACGAAGCCATTCATTTCGTCACGCACGGATATGGAGCTCTGGTGCTCCGAGTGAGTGCCAAGCGCTTTGTGTGTTGATAGCGTAAACATCATTTGGACTGCAAACATGGCTTTTGGCTGATCTGACGTTTGTATTGGGATGTCATACCGATGTGTTGATTAGGAGGCGTTCCGAACAGTGGATTGGAACTATACGAAATCCAAAGTGGTGATGCTGGCTCCGCCCAATCGAGGGTAAGATAAGGTCGTGAGTGGTATCTTGTGGTCAAAGGGGGCGAGACAGCTCATTGTTGTGTGGCTTTGTGTTCTTCTTGATGCAGGATTCGGTACCACAAGTCGATGAAGCGGTATCTCGGGGTTGCAGGATATGGAGGTGCGGCAGCAGAAGAGCTGTCGACGTTTAGTGCTAAGGCGTTGGACGAGCGGCTCGGCAAGCTTCCGCGAAGATGCTACCCGTTCGTGCTTGCTGGGAATCTCTGTCTAAACCCGTTCAATCAGCACAATTACCCGAATGATGGCCTCGTAATGGTCGAAGAAACGACGATGCCAGGCGAATTTCGACACCAGGTACGCGTTTCGATTCGAGCGTCAGCTCCTAGTGTTTGACGACTGACGGGCTGTTCTGCGTAGGTTATTGGTGCGCCGCACTACCTATTGCCGTCTCACCCAACAGCCATTGCGCTCACACAGTCATTTGTTGAAGCCTGAGTGTAATCCAATTCTGCGGCAGTGGGCAGAGAGGATCTGTTGCCAATATCGTATCGCCTACAATGTGTTGTTGCAATATATATTTCACATGCGAACATTTGCCAGGTGGCGACCGGTGTTGTCGTCAGCTTTTACGCGACAGCAGCTTGTAGACATGAAGACAAGACGAGATTGTGATCACGTCTGCGCATTTCTGTGAGGTAAAACGTGCGAGGCAGAGCATCTCACGATGGCGGTTGAGGATGTTGTCGCACTTCCAGGTCTCAGTCAGGTTCATCGCGGCATTCTCTTCACGCAACTCTTCGAGTCGTGTCTGATTAAAGCGTGCTGTGCTGTTGGTACGTAGCGCACGAAGCACCGGTACATTCTTGCTGATCGGGGGGTGATCGGCATCGTCGTTCCGCGCTGGCAATGACCGCATTCAGTCCAGCTCTCATTGCCAGGTCTTTTGCAGATTTGGTTTCGGACGACTACGGCAAATATCTACGCAGGATCAAGCCACGAAACTGCTGTAACAAGGTTTCGGACCCGAGTTACATGCTGGTGGTCTACTCACCCGTGACGATTGCATGAAGGAGTGCATAATGGTGTTTGTACGGGCGAAGGGGCTTGACCCATAGCTCCTGCTTGATGCTATGCAGTCTGGACCGAAGAAGCTCGCCTCGTTTGTGGACTTCAGCCGACCGCAATGCGCTAGTAGTGCACCGCATATTTGTTGTTCATCGCCATCATTGGTGCCCTGGCACAAGGTGCTGCTACCCCCCCCCTCCCCCGGCATAAGGTGACAGAAAAACCTCAGTCGAACGATGGTTGTTGTTGCCTGTGGCAAGGGACTTCTTGCGGTTGCTTGATACCTCCCTCAAGCGTCAAGCGTCAAGCGGTGCCATCGTGTGTCATCGGTCCCTAATTGGAGTAGCAGATCGCGGATAGAGAAGGCGTCTCCAACTACAGCTGGAAGTTGTGCGATCATCCGAGTCGGCCACCTTGCGAATGACGGCCACGATCAGCTTGGCTGGAACGCACGCCCGCATCCTCTTCGACTCAGTGAGGTACTCACTCGTGAGCGTATAGCAGACTTTACACGGATCGTCAGCCCGCTGCGAAAGTATTTTGTGCTTGCAGTTGCTCGCGCGACAAACTCATCGCAGATCGCTTTGTATGCAACCGATGCACTTGGACGCACGACGTCATTTGCCTGGAAGTCGCTGGCTGGAAGTCATGAAAGCACGAGGAGATCCTGAGACCAGAGGTCATCGCAAGCTCAAAGAGCTTACCCTGTTCGTGTTCTGGTGGCACAAGAAGACGAATTTCCAGGTGGCTACGAATATTGATACACAGGAACGTTGCGGCTGTCTGTTGCAATCTGCTTCGTGCTCGATCTCGTTGAGCGCGCCATTGTGGACCGGCGTCAGCGATACCGAATTGCTGCTGACGTACAGCTGAGTGCATCCAAGTCATCTCATCACGAACCGCTCGATACTTTGTCAGCCTCTTCTCAAGGCCATGTGACTCGCGGGAGATGTTTGACAACGTACTGGCACCAATGCCACAGCGTCACAGGACAGTTGCTCTCGGATCCTCTTGTTTCGCGCGGTCGAGAGCAGCTTCGCGACGCGCTCCATCCCACCCGTAATGCAGTACCTCACGATCTGCTGCGCTGCTCGTTTGCTGCAAAGACGCTGTCCAGAAACATCCACTCGTTCACACCATTGGTACCGCTCACTGTATTCACGAAGGCCAACTTGCTTGGGCTGCGTCCGACCAGCAGCTCTCTGGACAACGCTGTTGCAGCCCAACCTGACCAGATTGACCAAACACCCGATGCAAGCGCACATCGGTCGACACGTGTGCCTCTTCCTCGTATTCAGCAGCGATGTGGATCTGCCAATCTTCGGCCACAGAGCTGCATTTCGCTTGCGTCCAAGTCAAGTCAGCTGCTGAGATGGTGGCAAAAAGTTACCAGACCGCTCGGGCATTGGCCGTTGCGCTACGTAAACGTTAAGCAGACTCAGGCCGTCGTCACGGCATTGGACGTTCCGAGTGCATGTTGAAGTACAGCGTTTAACCGAAAGGTTTGCCACGAGCACTCGATAGCGAGCTATAGAGATGGCAGAAATTTGGCATCGCCAGACATTCCGATACAGCGTTAAGTATATGCGACTGACTTGACTTATGACACCAATGATCGATGAACAGCTCTCGGGTCACTTGACTTAGCAAAGTCTCAGTGGGCAAATATGTGATAAATGAGTCGATACATTTACCGCAATTTGGAAAACGCTCAGCCTGCAACTCACGTCATCGGAACACTTTTTCTAACACAATTCTTGTAGTCCCTACACACGCTGTTGTAGTCATACATGTACTCTATGAGTTGTAAACAAACGTTGATACCGTCAGCTACACGCATGTCGGCAAGCAATCCGTAGTCTTTTGGCATTCGGGTGCAATTGCGTGTCAATTGTAGTAGTAGTAGTAGTGGTCGTAGGTATAGTAGTAGTAGTAGTAGTAGTAGTAGTAGTAGTAGTAGTAGTAGTAGTAGTAGCAGTAGTAGTAGTAGTAATAGTAGTAGCAGTAGTAGTAGTAGCAGTTGTAGTAGTTTTTTTTGTACAAGATGTACTATGAATAGTAATGTTCAAACCCGACACAAAACTAAGCGAGAGAACCGAACACGGCAGCAATGCGCTGACTCAGCGTCACTAAAACTCGGTAAGTAGACGTCCTGCTGAGCCTAGATTTTATCCTTCGGTCAGTATCCGGATACCTAAACGGATATTACTTGTGACAAGCTTATTGCGTGTCGCAAGGTTCTCGCGCGGTTCCGCTGATCGTACATAATCGAACCAAAGACCTCGTGGACCCCCCTGTGCCGCCTCCGTCCTCGCGCGTCGTGCCCAACTCACGCTCCGGACACCTCTGTGTGAACGTACGCGACGTCCTCATCCGCGTAAGTGTACACCTCGTCATCTTCCTGTAGCGCCGTCAGCAGCCACTGACACTGTTGTAGGTGGTGCATTGTTTTTACATCTGATTCGTGCTCTTATTTTGGCACGTCGGTCTACAGAGCACTTTCACGCACCATCTCTCGACAGGAACAAACCCGAGCTCAGCCACACTATGTTTGGCCGCTTTTTCAAGAACAAAGAGGACGGCAAGAGCGGTCCCCCTGGCCATCAACGGCAGGGCGGCCACGGCAGCGCGGACGAGCCGCCCGTTGGTGGAGGCTTCTTCAACTTGCCACCTCCAGTCTCCAAGCCGTACAGTGCGCAAAGCGCTGCTGGTCCTGCTCCCCCCAGTAGCTACGTGGGTGGCGGAAGTGCTGGACCCGCTGGAGGGTACCCATCGTCGTTGAGCTATGGCTCTAGTTCTCCACGGAAGAGTCAGATGATGGGAGGAGGAGGTCCTTCGGGAACGATGGACATGTTTGGTGGTATGTCGGTCAAACTGCCTGCTGCTGCTAGTGCTGCTCCTGCTGCGCCGGCTGTTGGTGCTGCGTTAAGCAGCAACGGCGGAGCAGCACGATACAACCAGCAGCTTCTGAATCAGCCACAGTATGGCAATCACGGTGGACCGATGCACTTTTCTGGTGCAACGCAGTCTTCGAATGCAGGTGGCACGTTGTTTAGTGGCCTTGAAGTTGCTCCCGGTGCTCCAGCGCCCATGCTGCATGACGATGGAAGCGCACGAACGATACTGACGAGCAATAACGAGCAACGCAAGGCAAATGGAAGCACAGGACCGCATACTCATCAGCATGCGGCCAGTTTGAAGAGCGCAGGTGCACTGGACTCGTCACAGTACTCCCGAACGAGCGCGTCTAGCAGCACGGGTACGGCGACATCACGGTCGAGCTCGAAGGCGGTGAAGAAGAAAACGAAGAAAACGTTCCGCCCTGGCTTTGGACGACAGCTTTCGGATGAGTCAGCTGCAGCATTGCAGCGCGGCGACCTGAAGGTAGACGATATCATTCAGCAGCAGGAAGGACGACTTGGGTCCGATCAATCGGACAGTTCACGGAGTTCACGCCCCGCCACCGCCTCGACGGATTTGGCTCACTTGTTGCCTCCAGTGAAAACTGGGTCGGTTCTGCGAGGTCTGACGGTTCATAGAGGAAGCACCTCTTCCGGCAGCGGCGTTCTCGCTGGCCTTACGGTTCACACGTCAGCTTTGCCCCCACCTTCGCCAACGAAGGCGCAGGTACCGCAAATTTCTGCATTGGGATCCGATGAGGCTCACGTGCTACGAGGCTTTAGCATGCACAAACCACCAAGCAGTATTGCTGATGATGCCGATGCCGATGAACCAGCGACTGATGATCCAGTGACAATACCTGACCCTGTGGTGTATCCGAAAGCATCTTCTCCAGCACTGGCATCTCCCCTTACCCCGGAAAAGCGTTTGTTCAATACGCTACACGACTTTCATGAGAGTGCCTTGAGTTTCCGTCAGTTCACGGTCAAACAGCATGAAGAGGAGAGCCGATTACTGGAACGCAAAGCTCAGCTTGCGAGCCAGTTGACGCAATACGAAGCGGATTTGCGTGATGTTGAAGCCCAGCAGCAGCATGCATGCGAAGTCGAGGATTTCGAAAAAGCAGACGCACTGAATGCCACCATTAACAGTGTTCGACATTGCATTACGCTCACTGAAAGCGACGTCAGGAAAGTGGACAGTGAACTGGTCGCGTTTGTAAGGGCGAAGGAGAAGGCGTTTGCAAACCAACTGAGAAGTACGCGCGGTACCTTACGCGAGCTTGAGAAGTTTTGCGAGGATCAAGAATCCGAACGCACGGTCGTGCGCAACGAGTATAAGCTGTATGAGATCAACCAAAAGGAGCAACTGCAGTTCGAAGCTGAACGCATAGACACTGAACTGCACCACGTGTCCGTGAGTCTGGAAAATGTCAATTCTGAAAAGTCAGAGATTGAGGCCACCATTGAGGGTCAGTGCAGCTCTGAGTTTGGTGTCCAGGCACGATTGATCGAGGAGAAGAAGGCCGTTGAAGACGAGGTGCGCGAGCTTGAGCTCCAACTAAAGAAGAAGCTGGAGCGGGTTCGAAGGATTCAGTCGGCCATTGACACTGCTCAGCGCGAGATCAACACAGTTCGCAAACGTTATTCTCGCCAGCTAAAGCGTATTGCTGATCGTGAAAACGGTATCAAAAAGACCAAGGCAGAAGTCGAGTCGGATGGTGACCATCTCGAGAAGCAGCGCCAAGAGTTCCATGACAAGCTGAAACAGTACGCAGACAACATATCGGTGATCGGCAATCGTATAGGTACTGTCAAAAAAGAGATGCGTGCTGCGTCCTTACTGGCGAACGTGCTGGAATTGCAAGAGACCCGTCGTGAGCAATCTCTAATCCGCAAGAAGCAACAGACCGCAGAACTCAGTTCACTGAATGATGCTGCTGTGGTGGCGGAACAGAGCTTCACGATGCTGAATAATCAATTCGAAGAGCTCGAGAAGTCTATGTCGATCCACCGAAATGCCATTGCATCCGCAGAGACAATGATTCCGCGCTTGGAGCAAGAAAAGAAGGTAGCTGCCGCGCAGCGTAACTTTAAGGAAGCGGCGCGCATTTCCAAAGATATTAAGGCGCTAGAAAAGGACCGTTCAACAGCTGAGGAGATGGTAGAGGTGGTAGAGATGGAGCTCCAAGACTTGAAGGAGCGTATTGACAGACGTGAAGTGGAGTACGAAGAGAAAAAGAAGGAGTTGAAAGAGATGGAGAAGCACCTGGAACTTGCGACTTTGGCGGAGTTGTGGAAAGAAGAAAAAAGCTTGCGAACGGCGTTGCGAAAGATCGAGAAATGCAAGAGTGAGGGAGACGCTGCAAACGATGGCATCGACTTTCGGTCATCGGCACTGCTTTTGGTTCAGGCTGAGTACGATGCATGCATTCTTCAAGTCGAAACACTGGAAAAGAAGTACGACGTGTCTGACCCCACGAAGGACGACGAAGCTGAGGACGACAATGATGACGACGATTCGCTCGACGGTGAAGACAAGAAAGGCAACGAGCGGTCTAGCCTCGTTGAAAAGCTGGCTGATGTGCACAAATTGGATACGGATGATAAGGATACCGAAGACAGTAGCCATGTCTTGGAGGAGATTGCTGCGGAACTGCTTCAGCTCGAGTCTCGTATTCAAGAGGCGACGACGAACGAGGAGTACGACTTGGCTGCAAAGCTTGACGATCAGGTGGAGATGCTGAAGGAGCGCCAGCAGACAATAGAAGCCTCGGTGTCAGAGGAGGTGGCTTCAGACGACGATGATGATGATGAGGGCGAGTCTGTATCGGCGGATATGGGAGAGTCGGGTAGCCGTGAGTACTCAAGTGAGGCAAGTGATGACGGTCAAGTGGAGTACACGCACAGCGAAATGATGAGCCCTGTGAGTGCAGTGCAAAGTCTCGGTGACGTGACGCACTCTCTAGCAGGATCTTACGAGCGAGTTGTGAAAGTAGATGAACAGATCGAGCTGGAGTCTGAGCGCGAGGATTACGATACCGCCGCGCATTACAAGGACGAACTGCATTTACTTCGTGAGCAGGAGAGCACTATGTCTACCCAGCTTGGCTCTCTAGAGGGAAGCGATGCCGCGATAGCACTGATTGCGTCTGAAGGACTCGCTGTTAACGCTGGTAACTCTTCCATTATTGAAGCCGGGGCAGGCAGTATTTTGGTGGAATCACCTCACGAGATAGGAGCTGGTTTCGTGACGCGCGACTCGTTGAACGGTGGACTTCAGATGAGTCGTGGCTCAAGTTGTTCGTCAAAGAGTTCGGCCAAGATCCGAATGACGGAGGTTCAGGCGATGGAGGCAAACGTGGGTGGAGGTCTTGAATTGAAAGAAGCGGTGGCTCCTGCCAAATTTGAAGTCATCTCACCTACATCCTCTGAAATGAAAGACTCGTTCTTCGGCAACCCTGGGGCGTCTAACAACAGTGCTAGTCTAGTTGCGCCATCGGCGTCTGGATCGCTTTTCGGAGGATTGCAAATGAGTGGCGACTTTCAGGTCAGCACATCCTCCTTTTGTTCACCGAACAAAGTGACAGAAGGAGACAATGAAAACGAGCGAACGTCTGACGAAACGGCAACTAGAGCCGTAGACTTAGGCGCGTATGCTCCTGTCGACGACGGTAGTATGTTTAGCGGGCTGCAGTTGAGCTCCAGCGGGGTCAGCTTAGGAGCAAGTGTACAGACGGAGTCTACTGCAGAGACAAAGACAGAATCTGTTGACATGTTTGGCGGGTTGAAACTGAGTAGCGGCTCAGTCTCTGCAACGACAGCGGCGACTGTGCCGCATGTCTCGATGGATGCAACAAGCGACGATATGTTTGGTGGTCTGAAGCTGTCCGGTATATCGGCCGGTGCTGTGCCAGTAGAGCATATCTCGACAGGTGCGTCCAATGACGCGTTCAGCGGTCTAGGATCGTCTATTGACGTCGCAGGCACCTCAATCGGTGTGCTGAACGCGCAGCCTGGTGTTTCGGAGTCGAGCAGCAGTGCCGCTGCAGCCACAACAGCCGCTGACGAAGCAGACGTTGCATTGCCTGCGGGAACAAGTCTTACAGAGAGCTCGGGGGGTACTCGAATGTCGATACACGAGCTATCGGAGCACAGTGAGATTGTTTCTGTGCAAGAGACAAAGCAGAATATGTCTATCCTGTTGGACATGCCGGCTGTAACATCAGCAACTGTGGTAAGCAGTGTGGAGACAGCAGCTTCAACAGCCGTTGTCACGACATCCGTCATTAATGTCTTCGGTGACGGCGAGAGAAGCACTGAAACTGAGCACGACTCAATGTAGTGAGGGGCTTGTATAGACATGTTGCTGCACAGGGGAGTGCAAGGAGTGCAGCGTAGTGACGGCGCATGCATACGAGCAAGAAGCGGCACGTGGTGTGATGTGTTTGACGCAGAAGAGACCAGCGGTACCATTTCTTCACTTACCACGGATAGGAAGACAGATTTGAAAGGAGAGGAGAGTGAAGATGAATGAGATGAAGCAACTACGAAAGCGCAAAGGCTGACGGCAGGCGACAGCAAGGAAGGACAATATGACTTGCGTGCCGGATTGCCTGGATGTCTGTTACGTCTGACACTGATGGATGTGAACGTCACAGTTCGACTGCGTGTTGCAGTGGTGAGTAGCTGACGCCCGCCACTTGATGCTCGGATTACGCGCCCTTGCGTTGCTATTCTGCTGCAAGGCCAGGTGCGGCGATTCCATGTCTAGCTCAAGCTCAATCCAGAGAAGCTAGCGGCGTGACATCGTAACGCACAGATACTGTCGGAAGGCCATGCGTGCCAAAGCACTAGCGCTCAGCATAACGCCATGTGTCGGCATATCGAGGTCTATCACCATGATAGAAGTGCCTATCGATAACAAGGTCTCCCTATTTGGCAAAGGGGGTACCCGTCGGTTCGAGATGTTGGCATCGCATCTCACCGCGCAAAGCCGCTTGTCTCAAGCAAGTTATGGATCAAGGCATTGTCAACGCTTGCAGTACCGGTGGAATCGAAAAGCGCCGAACAAACAGGATGATGTGGCTCAGCGCGTCAAAGGACTTCGTTTGGTGCAAAGTGTTTACCGAACAGAATGTGAACAAGAGTCAGTAATCGGCAGGAAGGCAGTGGGGAAGACGTGATGATACCGTGATTCGAAACGAGACCGATTCTCCTCTTTTGGCGAGCAGAAAGCCACACTCGGCTAGACTTAGGCGGTGTACATGCCAACGACGGCCGAGCTGCAAGAGACATGGGCACTGTTGATTTTCGTACAAGACATTTACCATCAGATATCGATACGAGGCACGACCGACGTCAAGTTCCAGAGTTCATTTGGGTGAGGTACTGCGCTCACGTCCACTAGCGCAAAGAATAAAGTGAGGTTACAAGTTTGAGCACCAGCACGAAGCGGACAGCAGTGGTGGTAATCTGGAAAAAGTGGGTGCTCGCACCGATACCGTCGCTGTAGCAATCTGTGCTAGGCGGTTGCATGAGCACAATGAGCGAGTGATGAGGAAAGCTTGCGAGGACCTCGTTGCGCAGTGTACATTGGCTCATTATGACATGTGAAAAATGATGCTGTCAATGTGACTTTGGTCATTTGAGACGAGCAGCTGAGGCGCACCCGTGTGGCGACGAGGAACTGGTGTTGCTCACACGTGCACACAAGTGCAGCGAGCTGCCCGAAGAGATGGAGAAGCAGAGCAGAGCTGCACGCATGGCAAGGCGACACGTCTCAGTGCACAGGATATCTGTTTGTCGCTTGGATATCGACAGGTGGGTCGACTAGCAGCCACAATGGCCTTTGGATTTTTGACGTGTTTGTCACAACGAAAGAGACATATTGTGCGTGAGCGCGAGTGCATCGTATGCATCGCATACATATGGACAATGACGCACGTGCTGACTGAAATGGCTGATCGATCACGTAGCAAACGGACAGCGTGGATGGAAAACGCGTTGGTAACCAGTTTATTGTAGGGATTGTTGTTTTCGAGATGCATGTTTTCGAAACGTCTTGTCTTTTTTGGATGCGAATGAGACCTGTGCACCATTTGCGGCGCATATCGTGACATTGGCGCCCTTCTGTAGTATTGCAATGTCGACATGCCTCCACTTGTGTACGATTTTGCACTTTCATCCAGGACATGCAGGAGCGAGAGGCAGGGGACGGCGACAGGGCGTAGCGCTACTTTCGGTCAACCGCCGCGCTCTCGGTCGTCACGGTCGATTTTAAGGTGGCCGCACACCTGGTACAACCGTCCCTTGCCGCTTGCGCCTCGCTCGATCGAGCGTTCTAGAACAGTCTCGAGTTCAAGGTCACTCTTTCCTAGTGCCATCGACACTTGCGCCAAGTGCACTGGCGAGACCAAGTCGCCGTGGACAGCTTGTCCGACTCGAAGCGTCCCACTCGAGCTCCACCACACAAAAAGATACACACCCACCCACCGACTCCACGATCCATCCCCCAGTCGAGTCATTCCGCAATTTCCCTCGTGCACCGCCCCCAGATCACAGGAAACAAACATATCAGAAGCATGAACCTTTCCGTTGCCCTTGCCGCTCCGAAAGCCGCTGCGCGCGCGGCCCGTCGCCCGTCCAGTCAGCGCCTGTGCTTCTCGACCGGCAAAGACATTCGCTTTGGCGTCGAAGGCCGCGCTGCAATGCTCCAGGGCGCCGACCAGCTGGCGAACGCCGTGCAGGTGACGCTGGGCCCCAAGGGCCGCAACGTGGTGATTGAGCAGTCGTACGGCGCGCCCAAGATCACGAAAGACGGCGTGACGGTCGCGCGCAGCGTCGAGTTGGCCGACAAGTTTGAGAACATGGGCGCGCAGCTCGTGCGGTCGGTGGCCAGCAGCACGAACGACGCGGCGGGCGACGGCACGACGTCGGCCACTGTGCTCACGCGCGCGATCTTTAGCGAGGGCTGCAAGAGCGTGGCGGCCGGCATGAACCCGACCGACTTGCGGCGCGGGATTCAGCTGGCGGTCGACCACGTGGTGCACGGCCTGCAGCAGCTGTCGATGGACGTGCAGGACAAGGAAAAGGTGGCGCAAGTGGCGACGATTTCGGCCAACTCGGAGACTGAGATTGGCGCTCTGATTAGCGACGCGATGGAGCGCGTGGGCAAAGAGGGCGTGATCACGGTCCAGGACGGCAAGACGCTGCTGAACGAGCTCGAGGTGGTCGAGGGCATGAAGTTTGACCGCGGGTTCATTTCGCCCTACTTTGTCACGGACAACAAGACACAGGCGTGCGAGATGGAGAATCCGTTTATTCTCTTGGTGGAAAAGAAGGTCTCGAGCCTCCAGGCCATCATCCCCATGCTCGAGACGGTCGTGAAGCAGCAGCGGCCGCTCTTGATCATTGCGGAAGACGTCGAGAGCGAAGCGCTGGCGGCGCTCGTGATCAACAAGATCCGCGGCGGTGTCAAGGTGTGCGCGGTCAAGGCGCCCGGCTTTGGCGACAACCGCAAGGCCAGTCTCCAGGACATGGCCGTGCTCACGGGCGCGACGGTCATCTCGGAGGACTTGGGCCACCGCCTCGAGACGGCGACGCCCGAGATGCTGGGCAGCGCCAAGAAGGTGACGGTCACCAAGGACGACACGCTCATGCTGGACGGCGCCGGGTCGACAGAGGCCGTGGAAGAGCGCAGCAATCTGCTGCGCGCGTCGATCGAAAGCACGACGTCCGAGTACGAGAAGGAGAAGCTGCAGGAGCGCCTGGCCAAGCTGAGCGGCGGCGTTGCAGTGATCAAAGTGGGCGGCGCGAGCGAAGTCGAGGTCAGCGAGAAGAAGGACCGCGTTGTCGACGCGCTCAACGCGACGCGTGCGGCCGTGGCCGAAGGCATTGTGCCGGGCGGCGGCGCCGCGCTCTTGTGGGCGTCGCGCTCGCTCTCGACGCTGTACGACTCGTGCGCCAACTTGGACCAGAAGGTGGGCGTGGAGATTGTCGAGCGCGCGTGCCGTGCGCCCGCGACGCAGATTGCCAAGAACGCTGGCCACGAGGGCGCGGTCGTCGTGGGCAAGATGCTGGAGAGCGACTCGCCCGAGCTCGGGTTCAACGCGCAGACGGGCGAGTACGTCAACTTGGTGGACGCTGGCATCATTGACCCGACCAAGGTGGTGCGCACGGGCCTCGTGGACGCGTCGAGCGTGGCGTCGCTCATGATGACGGCCGAGGCGCTGATTGCGGACCTCCCGGAGGAGAAGGGCGGGGCCCCGCCGATGGGCGGCATGGGCGGCATGGGTGGCATGGGCGGCATGGGCGGCATGATGTAAGTATTCGAGTGAGCCAGTCACATTGGTATCCAGCGTGGTGGTGCCGGGCGTCTTGCGGCGCGTCGGGGCAAGTGAGCGAGCGAAGCGATCGACGGAGAAGGCCAGACGTCTCGCTTCTAGGGAGCTCTGTCTGTCTGTATACAAGGGCGACAGGTTAACGCACAATAGAATCAGTAGCTCACAACGTATACGCACTGTGTGCAGATACCGTGGCTCTCAGTGTATACACGGTGTGTGCACGTCTCGACGTGACGCGACGTCGTCACGACAGACACGACGCGGACGGTCGCACATGACGCGCACCTGTCTGACCCCTTCAAATCAGTTCTCACCGCACATAAACGAGTCCAACTTGTGTTGACGATTCGGCCGTCTCGGGCACTCGAGATCTTCGTCGAAAGTACGTCAGGCCGTCATCAGCGCAGTGCATCTCGAGGCACTGTTTGCGTCTCCACTCGCCCACCGCTCTCTCTCTCTCTGTGTGTCTATTTCGGTCTATTTCTGCTCATGACAGTGACCGCCTCAAGCGTCAGGAAGCGCAAACCTCATGGGCAGTCAACACGTGACAAGTCCCCACCGACGTCGTCGGCGTCATCTCCTTCTGCAGCCAAAGGCGCACTGGACGCGGCCACGCGCCGAGAGCACGAGAGCGAACAAAAGTTCGAGCGCGCGACCGAATCTCTGCACCGCACAGAGAGTTGGCACGCCCGCGCGGCTGCGCAGTTGGCGCGGAAGCGCATTTTCTCCATCTTGGGCGGGATTGTCATTGGCGTCGCGGCCGTCATTGGCGTGCAGAGCTATTACCTCGAGACGCCGCTGATCACGGAGCACTCGCTGCTCAAAGTGCGCGAGCTGTTTGACAACTTTAACTGGTCCGTGAACGTCCGGGAAGAGCTCTTGGCCGCGTTCGACCACCGGCCGAGTCTGCTTGGACCGGCCGAAGTGCGTCCCGGGCTCCAGTTGTTCCAGGACGAGAACATCACGGCCCGCTCCCCAGTCGTGTTGCTGCCAGGCTTCACGTCCACGGGGCTGGAAATCTGGAACGGAAGCGCCTGCAGCAAGGCCTACTTTCGACAGCGGATGTGGGGCACCTCGCGAATGCTGCAGCAGTTTATGATGAACCAAAGGTGCTGGCTCGAGCACATGATGCTCAACCGCTCGACTGGTACGGACCCCGACGGCATCAAGCTGCGGGCTGCCAAAGGCCTGGAAGCCGCCGACTACTTGATCGGTGGCTTCTGGGTCTGGGGCAAGATGGTGGAGAACCTCGCCGAGATTGGCTACGACAGCAACAATCTGTACATGGCCGCGTACGACTGGAGACTGATGCCGCACTTGCTGGAAAAGCGCGACGCGTACTTTACCAAGCTCAAGTACACGATCGAAATGGCGCGCGCGTCGTCCAGCGGCCAAAAAGTCATGCTGGTCACGCACTCGTACGCGATGCAGGTGTTTTTCCACTTTTTAAAGTGGGTCGAAAGCGATCGTGGAGGGCAGGGAGGCGACCAGTGGGTGGAGCAGAACATTGAAGCGTTTGTCAACATCGCAGGACCGACGCTGGGCGTAGTCAAGACGATCAGTGCGTTGATGTCGGGCGAGATGAAAGACACGGCAGAGCTCGGCGGCTTGTCCAAGTTCCTGGGCTATTTCTTCAGTGTACCAGCGCGTGCGCAGCTGGCACGATCGTGGTCGAGTGTCTTTGCGATGCTGCCGATGGGTGGGGATCGCATCTGGGGCACAGTCAATTCCGCACCCGATGACATTGTGTCTGCGTCGCCGCTATCTACTGGAAAGAACTCGACGGTGGACCCGCAAAAAGTAGAGGAGCACGTCGAGCGCTATGGCTCCGGTGGCCAGATCGTTCGCTTCATCAATGCCACGCATGAGAACATCACTGCAGGAGACGTGCATCACTTACTGGGAGAACTGGACCCGTACCTCGCCACTTTTAGCTCGTGGTTCAGCACTGGCATCGCCGACGACCCGTCACTTCCCGAGTACGATCAGGCCAAGTACTGGACAAATCCGCTGGAAACCACGCTGCCGAAAGCGCCGAGCTTGAAGATCTTCTGTTTCTACGGGGTGGGCAAACCTGCAGAACGAGGGTACTCGTATGGAGACAACCCGTTGCAAGAAGAGAGCGTGTATGTGAACGGCAAGCGGGTGGCCCCGTACGTGTTCAACACGGAAATCAGCGACCTGCCATATATCAAGGGCGGGATCCGGTACACTGACGGCGATGGCACAGTGCCTCTTGTGTCTTTGGGTCTCATGTGTGCCAGTGGCTGGCGGACTCGAAAGTTCAACCCGGGAGGAGTCCATGTTCGTGTTCGAGAGTATAGCCACAACCCCGTGTCCATGTTGTTTGATGCACGGGGCGGACCTGAGACGGCGGACCACGTTGATATCATGGGGAACCATGCACTCATCCGTGACGTGCTTCTCGTCGCTGCTCGTGCGTACGATCGCGTGCCCGAGAATATCACGTCCAGTATCATGGAGATTGCTGAACGGATTGGCGAGCTGTAATGTCGACTTGCAATCGGCTCGAGGTGGCGTGAGACGTAAGTCTGTATTGACCTTTTTTATCGTTCTTCCTCTTCTTCTTCGGGTTGCCTACGTAGAACTAACAACTGGGAGGTTCAATAGAGGGGCATTCGTCCATCGTCAATGTGTTCATCCAGCTTACCAGGAGCTACGAGGGTCACCACTACGGCCAAACTTACCGTCGATACCACGGACAATCAACCAGCAAGCGACGGATCGATCGATCCATTGCCCCACCTGCCCTCTCAGTTGGGTTGTGCAATGCCGAACAGACTTCTACCATTCGCGTTCAGCAGCAAACGACTTACCGACGGTAGCGTCCGCCACGTCGATTGCGACGGTTGTTCGCGTTCGATGCCGGAGACGGAAGCAAGTGATCGACCTGGTAACGCTGCTGCGGCTGGTATTGCTGCATCATGTCTTGCGGTGGCTGCTGCTGTTGCTGCTGTCCCGAGCCGTACGTTGCCATGGACCGACCCGCTCCACGCTGCTGGAACTCGCCTTGAGGTGGTCCATAAGGATCCTGTGCATAAGCAGGAAAACTATCGCCATGCGGCGGCTGTGACTGAAGATGATGATATGGCTGCTGCTGCTGCTGCTGCTGGGGCAAGTCCTGATAATACGAGGCGTCTACAGGCATGCCTCCTCGACGCGGATCCGCAACACCGCCGTACGAGACAGAACCTGGTCCGTCAGCGACTGAAGCTGCACCAGGTCCTATACCTGTGCCATATCGCGAGAGCGAAGGATCATACGGAGGTCTATAATCGTCTCCAGTCATAGAGCCTGGGCGTTGTCGCATCGACTGCTGCGGTTGCTGCTGGTGAAATGGCTGTTGCTGCGACGGTGGCCAACTGCCGCCTGCAAAACCACCTCTAGAAGGGTCTCCTTGTCCTACGAATCGATCGCTATCGCCAAGACGACGAGGGTCTTCTTGCGGGGGCCCCGAAAAATAAGCGCCTGAAAGCGGGGCGTAACCCTGCTGCTCTGGCATAGAGCTCTGCTGGCCTCCATACTTATCATAAGGTGGTGCATTCAGTGCACCGTGAGGTTGCTGCTGCTGCTGCTGCTGAAATTGATGCGGCTGCTGCTGCTGTTGCATGGGCACTTGCATTCGCTGCGGCCCGCGGTCATACATTGGCATCTGCTGCTGCTCCTGCGCTCTAGGCGCAGCCTGTTGTTGTCCAGGGTAATTGTAACGGGAATGCTGTTGCGGAGGGACAGCACCAGGAGGGCGAGACTGCTGGGGTTGGATGTCCCACTTATTCAAGCGGCCACGGCCACTACGCGGATCACGGTCTCGGCGGCGGCTGCTCCCATTGCCGCCCCACGTGCGAGATCCGCGTGGGTCGTGCGAGCCATTGTTGCTGCCACTGCTGCGGAAAGTACCGCCAGCAGTAGAACTACGTGCAGTAGAGTGACTCGAAGTAACAGAGTCCTGACTGTCACGTCGTTGCCGCATAGAAGGGCGGCTAGGAGATGTGGATGCTGCTTGAAGACCCTTCTTGTTAGCAATTGATGCAGCATTTACTTCAGTAGACGACTGGTGATTCTCCTCCCGCCAGAGCTTCTCAGCTTCCAGAATTAGACCGGCAATTGCACGCTAGAAGCACAGCACCAATTCACGCACAAGTACACGAGCAAACACACCAACACACACATAGCCACACGCAGACATATCCGTTAGTCGACCGCACATACAGCAAACCATCCCAGTCTCGAAACAGCAGCAATTTCTTCGCGTCAAAAAAATGCCCAGCAATCCAGTGTACCTGCAGTTCGATAACTTCCGGGTCCGTCGTCACCATCATTTCTGGTATCTTCATTCTCTCGAGCGACGTCTGCTGTGCCTTCAGCGCATTGACGCGGTCCAGCGAACAAATCTCAATAAACTGCTGCTGCGACATCTGGCAGCGACTCGAAAACTCGCGGCGTTGCTCCAAATGTTGCGTCTTGAGTGCAATGTGCCCACGCGGATCTGAAAATCCGTGCTGCATCTCCAGTGTGACGTGACGAGCAAATAGCTCGCTGCCTTCTTTCATTTGCATACCGACAAGGTCCTGCCAGCGGTAGAGCATCTCGCGGTCGCGAGTACGCTGCTCGTCGCGCAAAGCACCCACACCCTCGAAAACAGCGCTGTCACTCAACACGTCGGATAAGCGCTCCAAAAGTTCGTTGCCAATCTGCGTTTGAGCCTCGCCATCTGCCACGCTGTCAAACATCAAGTGAGGACACTTGGGAATGAACGGCAGCGTCAGCGGGATATGCGAGAAATACGCGGCAGGCTCGATACCAGAGACTGTGGCTGCTACCGTCGCATCGAGTGCTGCTGCATCTGGTTTACCGCGCTTCGCATCGCCCGCAAGCCGAGGATCTGATGGCCCTCTCTTCACTGCACCTCCACGATCGGCCGCAGAGTCTACGCTTTCCACAGCATGAGGAGAAGGCGCTTGCACGTGACTGGACTTGACTTCTCCAGTCTTGTCAATGAACGCTACAACTGGATCGACAAGGGACACTGCACTGGTTGCAGAGCTTAAGCCACGTGTCGGCTGCAATGTGCTTGGAATGGTTCTCGTCGTTACCGGCCTCGAAGCGCTCGGTCCTGCAGCCGGAGCAACCACAGAAGCTGCAGCATCTGCAGCAGGTACTGCTGCTGCAACAGCAGCACGAGCTGGAGCAGTCAAAGCAGATTGTCCAGCAGTCGGAATGACTGCACCGAGTGCAGCTCCTGGCTGAGGAAACTTGTCCGGCATGACCTGGTGCTGCAGCATGGCCAGCGACAACTTGTTATCGACGTTCGTGCACACAAAGCCATAGAATCGCGCCCACACGGCCGTGTGGTTGTCTTCGGGCAGCGTCTCGAGCGCACGGACGAAAATCTTGCGGGCATTGGAAAACTTGTTCCGCTGGACACAAAAGTCGGCGTACTGCAGCCACAATGCCATGTTTGCGCCTGCGACAGGACACGCCACGGCCCGTTCAAAGACTTTGGTCGCCTGTTTGAACTGCCGCAGGTCCATCTCCAGAGCTGCATACTGGTGCCAGAGCGCCACGACAGCGGCGGTGCCTCGTGCTGCCCGGTCTGGGTCCGTTTGATTGGCTGTGGTGGTAACCCACACCGCCAGTGTATCGTCGACCCCCTTTCGCGCGTCGGCTACTTTCTCATACTGTTACAATAGCATGAACATGGGTTAGCGTTACTTCAGAGAGGCTTGTCAAGTGCGATTGGGCCCCATGCGCGCCGGCGGTGCCTACGGACACACGTAGAAACGCACAAGAGACAGAAGCGATAGCGGAGAAGAAGGAGAGACGTACGTTGCTCGAGTGGATCATCGCTTTGGCGCGCGCGACGACCTGTGCGGCGTCCCATGTCGAGACTTCGTCGGCCATTGGCGCGCTGAGGTCGTTCGTGGTCAGAGACGGCGAGTGGGTTGTCGATAGAAACGTTTCTATCGAGGAATAGCGAGCGGAAGGCGAGGGCGGCGAACGAACGAGTTGTCGAAACGTCGTGGATAATATCGGATAAAGTGGCAGAGACTGCTAGAGTGGGATGTTTGCTGGAGTTTAGATTATCCTGGTGCAAGATGTTGGTTTGCGGGTTAGATATGTCAACGAACTGAGCATAGTTCCTCGTAGCACAATTGAGCTCGAGAGACCACTTGACACTTGTTTCGTGGCAGTATGTTCGGGGCGATGACCTGCCGACATGCTTCACTTGTTTGTCAAATGGCTGGATGGGAGACTAGAACTCAAGCTGTAGTTGAGCAATACTCAAAGTTTGGACTTTATGCCAGCAGCGATTGCCTTTGTAATCTCAGCTGCTCTTGCCGATTCACGTAATAACAGCACATGTAGCTCCAAACTCGCGTCAACTACGCGGCGCCGTGGCGCTATCGTAGTTTAACGCTTGGTACGGAACGGACCGGTCAACCCGACACGTAGTTCTCGCGTGCTGCAGATCAAGCTAAGGGTCTGACGGAGGTGTTCGTGCTGACTGAAAGCTGCTGAAATCGATGACACCACGCTAGGATATTTGTCGTTCATGGCACGATGTTCCGCATCTAGGCCAGAGCGTGTGGACAAGCACTTTTCTTAGCCGCATAGATTGAATCGGATCACACTGAATGCGAGACATATGCTATGCCATCGACGCCATGTGTACAAGCGAAGGACACATGCAATTTCGGTCGTACCAAGCAACTCACTTAATGTTGCACCACTGGCCGTCATTGCAGCATAAGTGACCATATCTCGGTCAGATCGGCCAGATAGGGCTTGATAAAAACCTGCATACCGTATTCTTCGCTCACCTTTGTACCAGGACTCGTTATAGCGATAGACCGTTCTGAGTTTCGTCGCGCCGCATGCCGGAGGCAGAAGTTGCCAAGGAGGCAGCACCCGAGTTGGCCGGCATCTCGAATATTTGACAACGCTTTGGTCGAATATGGGGATATCGAGTAGGAAATACAGTGCTCTCGCTCGCAACAGGTTGTCATCTCAAGGCACATTGTTGGACTTGGACACGTGCAGCACAGCGCCTCTATGCAATCGATACTGCAAGAAGCTCTTGCAACACGTGCTCAACCTCATCTAGCGGTCCTTCAGACACACGTGACACTTTTGAGCAATCCGAGCGAAAGCATTGAAGGCAGAATATGTCTGTACAACTTGTGGCGACTAGTGAGGGCGAGCGCTTGACCAGGCGCGATCCAGTACCGTATTTGGAAAGGACCTGAGCTGTGTATCAAAGCGCCTCGGCACGAACCCGATAGTAGCGTCGTGTCGACTCTACATTCATCAGTAAGCAAAACGGTACACTGATGGAAGCGACAGGAATACAGCGTGTCATCGACTTGCTACTCCTCGTCACAACTGTTGACACTATATCAGCACATGTCGACGCAAAGTCCATTGCCATCCATGTTATCAAACTTTAGGCTTTCATGTCAAAACTTTGATCTTGCATCGTATACCGACGCAAGCTGATCCTGCTGTTGTAATGATCGGGGCGGCGGGAGCGCGAAACAACCCAAGGTACGGGTTTATAACAAGAATATAGGTCGTAGTTGCAGAAGCGACACATGCTATTGTGCTTGCAAGGACAATTCGATAGACAGCTGTAACACATCTCGTGCTATTGTTCACGGCGTCAGGTGTGCATCGTTCGTACGCCGTGAGCACGGATGCGCAGCTGGGAAAGCCCAAATGTCTCTCAGCTCTTTTCCACTGCAGCGATTAGCGCAGTGCACGTGGACAGCCCCAGCGTGTTCGGCTGAATGCACACGTAAGCTCTCAGCATAGTATGAGCAAGAATCGATTCACTCGACGTCGCTAGTTGACGATCATCGCACTATCAGTTGGTGACCAGTGCGTCATCAGTTCGCACACGCTGCAGTGTGGGCACTATATGACTGTCGATATCATTGTTGGCCACTGTCTGTGCTGGCCATCCTACTTGTTTCATGTAGCGCCTAACGTCTGGCCACGAGCTTTCTCCTGTTCTGTGTCATGCAACGTACAGTATGCGCTTCTGACGTTGTAGCTGCTGCACGCAGCACACACAGTGCTATGGAAACACCGTGTCATTGTGTCCTCACTACCAGGTGCTTATGGACCCGGTCAATGCACCCAGCTCACGGCCGCATGCATGTCAAAAGGCACAATAAAGGCTCGGTAAGCGACGTGAATGTTTACGGACTTACATATGGGACTCATCGGTCGAGTGTTGACACATCCACGGCGTTTACGCACTATCCAACGACAATCGAAGAGGGAGACCTCGTGGTTTCAAGCAGGAACTGTCGTGGTATGGAGAGGTGCAGTCGTTCAACGCCTTGTACAGCAGCGAGAGAGGGAACCACCTACCATGATTTGTCGCGTGTACCTGTATGGAAAGAGCCATAGCAGTGCTACTGGCACTGGCCGCAGCTCGCCCGAGAGCCAACGTGATTCGCGACCGTGCGCATGTGAAAGCCAACGCTCTTGGCAGCTACTTTCAGTGTGTCTATGAGTGTGCGTGGACTTCGGCTGCTTGAAACAGTGGGCACGTCCATCGTTCACCGTCTTTCCTTGCTCTTGCGATATTTGCAGATATCACACCGAGAGAAGAAATGGCGAAACAGGTGCTTCGAGGCAAACACGCTTGGCAAAGACCCAGTGCGCGTGCTGTGGCCACGTCAGTATTCATGCAAACGACACACAGCGGGTATGATGTAAGCCAAGACAGCACGCATAGAGGACCTACTACTGACCCATTGACACAACAATGGCGTAGCACGAACAACGCAACGTGGACACGTTGTTGTTGTTGTTGTTGCTGGAGAGGCAACATCAGCTGTTGTCTCACCCTTTTCCTCATTATTCGCTTCGCCGCGTCGGTAGCACCCCCGAGGAGCTTTTTACATGCAACACGACGACACTGCAGTTCTGACACTTCACCTCATAGCGCGCAGCCCACGTACCCTCAGCTACGAATCCCCACCTATCCGAAATAGGTACGCGAACCTCCGAACTTGATTCCGTTCACTGGAATGGAAATGCCTCCCGCAACGAGCTGTGGGGCGACGAGCTCCACAGTTCGCTCCTCGGCCACTCGAACTCGCTCTTCTCGTACGAACGACACGCTGCTTTGCCTTTACCGTTCGAGAAGATGAGCAGCCGCTGGCTACACTTCCATGGCTTCAACCAAACCGAAAGCTATAGAGAGGACGAGAACGATGGGAGCCCTACTAAGCTTCAAGCGAAAAGTACCCGAGCTGCGTTTGCGAATGGGTAAAAATGTCTCTCGCCTCGAGCAGACGACGGAGTGATCTGAATCGCTCGTAACGGGTCCCTTTCAACCTCAGCTTTGGATTTGCACGTGAACTCGACAGCAGGTCCGTGTCATTCAGGCGTCCGGATATGCAGGCAAGAGAGAAAGTCGTGTCGCAGCCATTTGTACCATGGGACACAAATCTGCAGGCGACACGTCTGTCTTTGGATGTAACCCATCGATTCTTCGACGCGTGTGTGTGTGTGTGTGTTCACGGTCGGGCTCGTCACACTGGCAGTTACATGTCAGACAGCAAGTCAAGTCTTCTCCCCAGCTGTAGTAGGGCATTATCGATCGACAGACAGCTCGTTCGCGGCACTCTCAATCAATATCGGCCGAAGCTTTCCGCAGGAGCGACCTACACAGTGCTGTCGGCATTGACCAACAGCCGACACCTCTCGGAGCTGCAACGACACCCCGTCCTGTGCGACCGCGGGTACATAGATCCCGAGATCGTGGAGTTGTGAGAATTGAGTCTGGATGGTGGATCAGGTGCCAACGCCGTGAAGTCAGCTGGGTCGGTTTCGGGTAAACCAGCTGCATGCATCGAGGAAGGGGACGCGCGCAGAGCGTTCTTTGCCAGCAAACTGCCATAGACAGCCTGCCACTTGGTCGTTCGTTTGCGGCTTCGGTCGAGGTCCAAGAGATGAGCTCGGCGCGTGAAGAAAGAGCGGTGCTACCCAGCCGCTCATCCCCCATCGCTGTGTTGATGTCAAAGGCCGAGAACCGTGGGGAGGTCTGCCAGGTGCTTGCGTTTCGCTCGCTGCGATAGTGCCTTGCGACTATTATTGTCGCATAGTCAAAAGAAGCGACGGAATGGGAGGAGCGACGCTGCAGGCGGCGCCCCCCCATCTGCCACGACGGACGAACGTTCGGAAGCGAGCGATCTATCGGTCCGTGCGTGCTTTGGAACCACCTGCTTTCGTGTCACGCGTGGTGAGGGATTTGTTGGAGGACCGTCAACACCCGTGTGAGCGAACCCTCGTGCAAATATTTGACGCTGCTGCGACGGCTACTGCCCTTACATCTTTCGGGCCGACAAACGACTCGCCTCATGGAGCCACAACAGGCACACGGTGGAAGGCACACACCGCTTTGAGCATTCCTGAATTTGCCGCCTTTGCCGCCTTTGCCGCACACAGTGCCCACTCCACTTCCTCTACCTGCCATGTCCCCCTCGATCAAGTTTGGGGCACTGGCTACGGCCGTCCTGGCCGCAACGACGGCCGCGCACAACTACATGATGGATCCGCTGCCGACGTGGCCGAAAGACTTTTACACGCCAATGAACCCCTGTGCTTTTATCGACCCCACGAAGTATTTGCCGACGCCGCCCGGCATGTCGTACACGACAGATCCAGCGTCCAACGCGAAGGCGTTCTGGACCGCGTTCAACGCCAGCTCGTTCAAGTCGGTGAAAGAGCTCATTTGGAAAGGGCAGAAGCCCGAGCCCAAGGCGTCCAAGGAGTGCGGCTTCTCCCTCGTAGATGGCGCCCCGCAAGACCTGCCGGAGAAGATCAAGTGGGACTTCTTCACCTTGTCGCACGAGGGTCCGTTCGAAGTCTACTGCGACGACACGCTCGTGTTCAAGGACTGGAACGCGGCCATTGACTTTCCTGAGACGCCTGCGTACACGCCATACGACAAGGCCAAGTGCAAGGGCGCCAAGATGCTGACGTCCTACTGGCTCGCCCTGCACACGGTTCCGTGGCAGGTGTACACCAACTGCGCGCCCCTCACGGGCAAAGTTGGAGCGTCCAACTCGACCGATTCCACGGGCGGCTCCGACGAAGACACGTCCCAGTCGACGCCTTCGACGCCTGCTCCAGCGCCTGCTTCAACGCCGGCACCTGCCACGCCGGCACCTGCCACGCCGGCACCTGCTACGCCGACAGTCGACGAATCTTCGTCTTCTGCTGCTCAAGATGCGGCGGCATCGCAAGACGGTGACGAGGACGACGCAGGGGACGAGGAGAACGAAGACACGGTGGATCAGGAGGAGGTCGGCTCCGATGCTGGCGCTGCAAAGGTCAAGCCGTACAAAGAGGAGGTCAAAGAGGAGGTCAAAGAGGAGGTCAAGGAGGAGGTCAAAGAGGAGGTCGAAGAAGAGGTCGAAGAAGACTCGCCGACGCCTGCGCCAGCGGCCGAGAAGTGTACGGTCCGTCGTCGTCGTCGTAACTAGATGTGCAGTGCAGTCGCCTCCTTCTTCACGTTGCTTGCTATCAGTTGTATATATCCGAGTAGCGAGGAGGATAGCGCCTGTTGCGTTGTGAATACAAAAAACATTTTGAGAAAACAATTGCTGTGGCTGATGTGACTTGCGAGATGAGGAGGTGGAAGAGTTGATGCCATTGCTGACAACAAGAGGGTAGTGGTCGGCCAGTGCGAAGGCGGAAGCTCCATCAGGTACGTCATTCGTAGCATGTAGTGTCGTAGGTAGTTGTGCGAGAGACGCAGTGAGGGTCATGCTTTTAGCCCGAAGAAGGAGAATTGGAAGATGAGGTCGGAGACATTCACAGTGCAGGCGCAGCGAGGGATACAGCAGTTTAAATGACACGAGCAACAGACAGCACCGGCGACGGCCTTCTGGCACTTGAAACACCACTGAGGCACAAGGAACGCATCTGTGTGCAAACAAGAGCCAGGCAGATTCGACGATAGCATTCTACAACGATAGACGTATTACAAGAGGAGCTGTGTGCATCGTGATGTGATGATACACAGGATGACGTAGCGAGAAACACTACGTAGCAATTTGATGCAGTACACTGTGACGCTAAACGTCATTTGGTTCATCAGTGGCACTGGAAATCGCTCCGGTATGTTGAATGTATCCTCTACGGTTCTAGCAATTGCCTACTTGCAGAGCAGAGTCGTGAGGACGTAACAATACGATTGGGAAGTACAGCTTCTCGTGAGCGTATCGGGGTGCACGCACAGCTTTGCCTGATGAGATTATCGCTGAAGCGATTGTATATCCGAGGGTATTGTAAGCACCATTGCAGCCACAGCTCTTGCGAGTAGTGACCAGTTGACGTGGCCATCGCGATGTCATAAGGCTGAGGTCGACTGCAGATGAGCTGAGAGGTAGGCAAGTGTCCAGTCCATCCACTATGAGCTCCAAACAGATCTCTTGTCCTCGATACAATTTCAGGGCTTCGCAGCACACGAGTGTTCAGGCTCTTTACAACTGGATCAGCGATCGCTGCTCGCAGGTGACGAGAGACGAAGGCTGCGTGGCTACAATTTAGCACACGATTGCATCTTTAGTGTCTCGTACGCTCATCCAACAGGTCATTGCAAAGGGCGTCAACGAACGGCAAAGCGTTGATCACATCGCCCAACCGCTTCGTGCGCGGACCCACACATCGTACCAGCCCCTTCAACTTTGCAAGTGGCTTCGGCCGCCCACGCAATTCGCCGCGCATGATAGATCAGCTTTCAACTATTCGGTGGCGTCAAACAGCGCACAGAGTGGCGACGAAAAGTCGAGCACTCGTTCCAGTAAGGCGACACCGGCTTGACCTCTCGTGTAAACGTCCTCGTCATTGCCGCTCTTGAGTCTCACCTCGGCCGATCGCTCGGTTCTAGTCTTTCGCTGGACAAGAACGTCATCAGGTTGCTCGGCTCGTCAGATGGAGAGTAGAGCGGGAAGAGATGGACGGAGCATCGACTGCTGGCTCGAGACCATATGTGTGAACGAACCCTCGTGCAGTTCCTTGGACGTCTCAACGCACCCGCAGACTAAAAAGCACATGACAACGATGATGCGAACTTCCTTCCCCTTGATGCGGTCAAAAGGTGCGTCCCACGTGCGCAAGAGCTGCACCGAACGGAACCGCCAACCAAGAAATAGCTCGGGTCACGTATTAGGTACACACGCAAACCAAATGTCGGATACGTCAATGGAAAAAGATGGGATCGTATCCTTTGCTCAGCGTTCGATCACCGCAACGCGTGGGTGCGCTTCACCTGATGATCGACACGTATTGTCAACTACTCGTACACTGTAATCGCTACGCGCGTGCTACAGAGCACTGGACTCGGCCGAGCTTTGCTGCTGCCGACGTGTGCATCTTTTTTTAGCGGTAGGTGACGTCTCGAGAGGTACGTCCGAGCTCGCATTGTTCCCGCTCTTCGGTCCGTCCGTCTCAAGTCCTCCCCCTGCCCTCGAGTCTGCACTAGTTGGTGCACTACCAGGAGCCATTGGAGCGACGGTCAAAGTCTCCGAAGCAGACTGACCACTCCGCGTCACCACAATGTCACCGCAGGTCGGGTACGTCTGGCCCGCTAGATCCGAGTGCCAGTAAAACTGCAGCGCACAGTCACCTGCTGATCCGCACGCCGTGACGCTCGAGGGGATAATAGCTACTGTGCTAGTCTTCTCGCTCGAGCTTACCGCGAACGGGTCGATGGTCAGCAGCTTTGCCACCGCCTCGTACGTAATGACGCCACGGCCGTCAACTCTTGGCCTGACGACACTGAGCACCATAGTGCCAGGATGTGGCGCCTGGATGATCCACTCGACGTCAAAGGGCGTGTCAGCCTCTAGCTCCGTGACGGTGTTATTCAGCTCGTACACTGTTCCTCTGCAGCCGTTCAGGATATTAAACGTGGGACCGGCGGGTCGATCGGCCTGCGCTCGGCTCTGAAGCAGCTCCACTGGCGCGTATTGCAGTTCCTGGTCTCCTGCCCCACTGAGCGCACCGCAGTCAGCGCGAAAGCTTTGAGAAATCGGTCGTGCCGTCGGACGCGTCATCTGTCCATGGGCGCTGACCGACGTGGGACTCGCAAGGAACGACACCACAGTGGTAGCTGCAAGAAGCGACGAGGCCACGACCGTTTTCATGGTTCAGATTAAGGTCAGCGCCGCCGCTCGGTGCGTGCACGTTCACAAGTGACACTTGTCGAACAGGTTGACCTCATGGCCACTACGGAGGCGTCTTGCGCCGAGAAAGAAAGAGAAAAGAGAGAGAGAGAGAGCAATGCAAAACGGCGTTCACTGGTCTTCTTGCAAACAACCGACAGACAGACAGACAGACAGACAGACAGACAGATAGACAGACAGACAGACAGACAGACAGACAGACAGACAAACAGAGAGACATCCGCTTCCTCGACCGCACACACGCGGAAGCAGAACTCTGCTTTTTCTCAGCTATTCATAGCCGAAACGGTTCCCAACTTTCGAGTTGCGACAGCAGCAGCAGAAGCTGTTGGTGGATCAAGTGAACAACACCCGACGACGCACTCTACGAAACCGACAGAGATAAAGTCGCGACAATTCGCTTGTCGCTTTTTCCTGTCCCTGCAGTGGGCAAATACGCGCACGTCCACATCACACCGCTGGGCGTCGATCGTAGGAGGATACACTCCCAGCAGTCTGCAGTCGAGACAGTGGTCACCCATGTCCACGCCATACTGACACTCGCTCGTGCGCTAACGTCACGGACCCGACCGACCGACACGTGCGTTCAGCTTCAGAAGATCGGCTGACTTGGAAAGTCCAGTCGCGCGAGGATTCGGACGCGGCTCTGTGTCCAGTGCCACTGGTCGGTCCATCCTGACGCGCGGCCATATGACTGTACCAAGTGACTGGCTGACAGCTCAACTTGCGCGGACGAAAGAAAGATAGCAACAGCGCGTCGTCCGGACGCTTTACCGCTCTTGAAACAGCTGCAGCCGCCTCTTGTCAGTCAAATCAGAAGCCTTTCGGGGCATCGATTGTCAACGGTATCACTCTTCACCAGCTGCTCGAAAGACGCAGCGAATCTGCTGGCGAGGAAAGCAGTCGGCCGCAGATGCTATCGATCGACCAGGCGATCAATCTGCTTCGAAGGCAGTAGTGCCTCCTAAGACGATCACCTGCTGTGGCGATGCCGAGGGCACTCTGAACTCGCGCGTCTTTCGGCCGCCTTTGCCAGTCGTCATTACCGGATTCACCTGCTCAAGTTCACTAGCTCACGAGCACAGGCCTTCCTCATCTTCCTCGTTTTGAATTCCACCTCACCTGTCTACCCGATCTTCATGACGTTCGCCACGACCCGACACGCACTTGTGCTGGGCGCTGCAGCTTTTCTGCTTGATGCTGTCCACGCACATGGCTACTGCAGCCGTCCGGCCGTGAAGTTCCCCAACGACGTCGACACGACGCAGTTCGTTGCAACGATCGAAGCCACTGCGTCGGGTCTACCGGGATCGTTCACGGGGTCATCTGCCGACAACGCGGCCGCGTTCTGGACCGCGTTCAAAGCGAGTAAGTACGCGTCGCTCAAGGCCTTTGCCACGAGCTTGGGGCAAGTCGTCGTGCCGGGCGCGACGATCGAGTGCGGCCTCACGGACCCGAACGAGTCGCCGCAGCCCGTGCCGGACGAGATCGAGTGGTCGCACTCGGCGTCCGAAGGCTTCACGCCGTCCCACGAAGGGCCGTGCGAAGCCTGGTGCGACGACACGCAGGTGTTCCAGGACGACAACTGCGCTGCGCACTTTACTTCAATTCCAGCCACGATGCCCTACGACAAGGCCAAGTGCTCGGGCGCGAGTCGGTTCACGTTCTACTGGCTCGCGCTGCACTCGTCAACGTGGCAGGTGTACGTCAACTGCGCGGCACTGGCGGGCGGCAGTGGGAACTCGCCGACTCAATCGGACGCGTACGCGAGTGAGTCGACGGAGCAGTCGGACCAGTTGACGCCACCGACGAACTCGACGGGCAACTCGCCGCCCTCGACGACGCCAACTGCTTCGACAAACGCAACGGCCAATGCGACCGCTACACCGGATCCGTCGTATTCGTTTGGGGGACCAAATGGGTCGTCACCTGCGACACCTGTTCCAGAGACTACGAACGAGTCTACAGCACCGTCGACCCCTTCGGTTGCGCCAAACGGTACGCCTCCAGCTGACCTGTCGACCACACCGGCATCTCCTGCTCAGTCATATTCGTTTGGAGGACCCAATGGTTCGCCAAGTACTTCGGAGGTCGTTCCGACGAACTCGTCACCTGTTCCGGAGACTACGAACGGGTCTTCCGCTGACCCGTCGACCGCACCGGTTGCACCAAATGGTACGCCTTCCGCTGGCCCGTCGACCACACCGGCACCTCCTGGTCAGTCGTATTCGTTTGAAGGACCTAACAGTCAGCCAAGTACTTCAGAGGTCGTTGTAGCGAACACGGCAACTACTTCGGGACAGCCGGACACACCTCCAGCCACACCTGCTACGCCAACGACGGAGGTGAACTCACCGCCGACGCTGAATGCTTCGCTCAGTACCAATGACAGCGTCGTGCAGGACTCGATCCCGGTGGGCGTTGCTGGCAGTGAGGAAGAAGACTGCGGATCGCTTGATATTGCTGGTAGCGATGGCAACGAAGCCGCAGACCCAACAGCTCCAGCTACGGAAGAGGACTGTGGATCGCTGGACGTTGCTGGCAGCGAAGAAGAAGATTGCGGCTCTCTGGACATGGCGGGCGATGATCCCGAAGGCGTGGACAGCATTGCTAGCAAAACGAGCACTGGACTGGCCAACGTGACAGCCCCTGCAAGCGAAAACACTTCTGCGATCTCGGAATCGTCGCTGAACTTCGATGACATCAGCCGCGACTACACTGGAGGCAAAGTGCAAGTTCCGCTCCAAAAGTAGGTGTGAAGCGCCGGAGGAACTGGGCTGGAGCCCGTCGATGGTGTCCATCGTGCGTCGTGGAAGGAGTCCACAGAGCTACTGGACCAAGTGGTTGATATTAAAGTCGAGGAAACGGACGCCCATTGTTAGCGAGTGCATCAATATGAAAACTGACACACATTGCTTCTGCTGAGTTGTTGCTCGGGTCTAATGGTCGATAAAAAGACATTCTGAACGGAGCCACGTAGTCGATGCGGCCTCATAGCATAGCACTGCTCGTTCCGAGTTTGTATCAATTACTTGCACGCCTGTTCAGCTTTTTACTAAGGATTCGGAACAGAGCACTTTACAAGCACACAGCACTTTGTTTGGCGCAGGTGGGAGACACTCGTCTCGTATCTCACCGACCACGTCAAAGAGACACACAACTTGTATGACGATCAAATGCTGCAAAAAGGACCGCAGCATTTTCTCTGTTTCCACTGCTTGCGTCAACGGAACCCAATGCGACGATGTACCAGTCAACGGATGTGTGGGTCTCACCAGCTCTTATTCACCTCATCTATCCGACTTGTTCAGACAAAGCAAACGGCCACTTCGCTCTGGTACAATCGGAACGCCAATACCCGTAACAAAACAGCGAGAAGAGGCTCACTCGCCAAAGGCTCATACTTCAAGTCAGTCACAGATCGGCAGCGACACCATGCGACCGACAACAACTCCCTCTAATCATCTACTCGGTCCATAGCCCTTCTGTAGCCACTCCGTTTTTGCGTTCCCTACAGAATCATCTTGAGAGGATCCTCCACCAGCTCCTTGAACGAAGCCAACCACTGTGCACCAACTGCACCGTCAATGACGCGGTGGTCGCAAGCAAGCGTCGCAGTCATCACCTGCGCGTACTTATAAATTTGCTCAGCGTCAGGGTCGTCATTTGGAACCACCTTCTTCTCGATCGTGCCCAAGCCAAGCAGGCACGCCTGCTCGGGACGGACAATACCTGCCAGTGACTGCACGTCAAACTGGCCAACGTTAGAGATCGTAAAAGTTCCGTTCGCTAGGTCCACCGGCTCCAAAGTGCCTTCATTCGCCTTGGCCACAGCTGCCCGCGTCTCCTTGCTGATGTCGTCGAGACCCTTACGGTTCACGCGGGTCAGCACAGGGGCCACAACACCACCACCCGTAGCCGAAGATACCATCAAGTTGACGTTCACGTCGTTGTACTGGCGAATGAACGAGCCCTTCCAGCTCGAGTTGGCATCCGGCACCTTGCGCATGGCAAGCGAAGCGGCCCGCACAATAAAGTCGTTGACCGACAGCTGCTCGTCTTCCCCACGACCAGCATTCAAGCGGGCACGCGCGTTCAGAAGCTTGTCAAGCGTAAGGCTTGTCGACAAATGGTAGTGCGGCACGTCCATCTTCTGCTGCGTCAACTGCTGGGCAATTGTCTGGGCTTCGGAACTGATTGGGTAGTCCGTGTAGTTCGCGGCAGTCGTCGGCGCAGCGGTACCCGCATCAGTAGCAGTAGCGTCGCTGGCAGTAGTCGCCGCCGTCGGCGCAGCAGCACGGGCAGCCATAGCAGCTTCCACGTCGGCTTTCACGATACGACCGTTAGGGCCCGAGCCATTTATGTCCGACAGCACAGCGCCCGACTCCCGTGCAATTTTCTTGGCCAATGGACTGGCAAACACACGGCCTGACGCCGCTGCAGCAGTTGGCGTAGCCGTGACCGGCGTCGGGTCCGAAGGAGGAGTGGCACGTGGCGTCGGCGCAGCCTCCACGGGCATTGTCGCTGGCCCTACTTCACCAGCGGGCGCTGCATCCAGTGAAAAGTCTCGGAACGCAGCAACATCGTCCTCCTCCATCACCGTGACAAAGATGGGACTGCCCACGGCCACTTCCCCCGATCCCGCTTGCACGAGGATCTTGGCCAAGTACGAGTCGTCCGTAGCTTCAAAGTCCACCACGGCCTTGTCCGTCTCGACTTCGCACACCACGTCGCCCGCCGAGATGAGGTCGCCCTCCTGCTTGTTCCACTTGGCGATCGTGCCCACGTCCATTGTCGGCGACAGCGCCGGCAGTCCCACGACTTCGTGGTCTGGCAACGCACTAAACGCACGGGCCGACAGGGCCTTCTGGCTGGCCAGGCATTGGCGCCCGCACTGCAAGTGGATAATGGCTACACGCTGCCACGCGCTCTTTTTCCGCAAAGCCGTCTGTTTGTCAGCAGCATATGGTTCCACCGCATCGAAATCGAACAATAACAATAGGACACAAGTCAGAAATATTGCAATGTAAACGGTGGTACGGTGGTATTTCAACTGCGAAAAAGCTCTTTGCGCGCGGGCGAGAGCGCGCACGGAGCGAGCGACGAGACGCAGATGAGAGGGCGCGAGCAGTAGCGAGTTGCCGCTCGCAGGGGCTGCGAGACGCACCTGGAAGCGCTGCATGGCGAGGGGTCGATGGACGGCTGGGGCGCGTTAAGTCACTGTGGGCGATGAATTATGAGGTTAGGCGCGTGGTGGATGACGTCGCCCCTCCCCCTGACGAGTGGATCACCTGCTGCATAGTGAGATCCAGTGGAGACGCTCGGCTTTTCGTGCGGTCCACCCTCTTTTTGGTCGTGACTAAATCGCGACCAAAAGACGGACCTGTAAGCACTGATTTACGTAGAATGAAAGAATTGAGGTATCGTATACAAGTATCGGTTCATGTATCGCACACGAATCTGTGTACTGCCCACGACCCCCGAGCTCGACAGTCGAGTCGGTCTCGCATGATCAATTTAAAGAGGCGTCGGTCGTCCATCCCACGTGCGTACGATTTGCGTGTCTGCGGACTATATGCGACGTATCTGCCATTTCTCCAGCAAGTCAGTCACTGCGGGACACTGACATTGCTACTTTTTGGTACAGTGCATTGTACAGTATACGAAGAACAAAATTGTCAAACATAAACACAGAGTCGGTGGGTATCCTCTGTCAAGCAGACAGTGTACCAGCTCTGTCAACATCCTGTGCCCTGCATGCCCAATGTCCGCGTCAGCGTTGTGCACAGCAGTGCCACGGCCCAAACAGTGAGACGCCTCGTTCGTCAAGATGTCCATTCATTCATTTACCCATCTACGCAAAGTACACCGCTTCCGACTGCTCGAATGGCTACGCTCTCCAGCATTGCAGCTCCATTACTTGCCGCCAACGAGCTCCTGAATAAACTCGTAGAACGAAAACTCAGGGGCGCTGAGACCGACGCTGTAGATGAATCGGCTCGCGAGCTGCGACGCGAAGAACGCACGCGTGTAGTTCTCGGGCAGCCGCTTCAGTAGCTCCTCCTTCGGTGTCTGGCGCAACAAAATGTCGGGGAACCCGTCTGCGAAGATCTTCTCGCGCAGCGTCGTGTTATCCCACAGCGCAGAGTGCTGGACCTTGGCGCTCAGGTCCGTGATCCGCTCACTCAGTTGGTTGGTCAGCACCGAGTAGTACGTGCCCGTGCGCTCGTGCTCACGCCAAATGCACTCGAACTCACGCTGCGCATTCAGCTCGATGCGCTTCTGCACTTCGCTCACGTAGTCGGCGTAGAAAGCTGGACGCTTTCCAGTAGCTTCGTCAACTTGCATGTGCTCGGCAAACTCCTCGTCCGTCATCGACAGAGCAGCCAACACTTCGAGCGACGATGAGGTCACTCCGCCCTTGTTGGCCGACGCGTCTTTGAACAGGATCACGCCGGCGTCCTCTAGACGAGAGCGAGCGTCTTGCGTGAAGAAGAGGTTGGCACCTTCGACAATGTACTTGAAGCGAAGCGTCCGGCCGTCTTCACAATACATGAACTGCTCGACATTGCTCAGGTTCACCGCAGCGGGACGGCCACCACACGGCACGAAGAAGTCGGCGGTCAGGTCCGGCCGCAAGTGGAAGAAGTTGCGGAACTCTGTGCCGTTTTCCACGACGTCACCGTTCGGGAGCGTAATGTCGTTGTGCGAGACGAGCACCAGGTAGCCGTCCGACGACAACTTGCTCGTGTCGAAACCCGAGACAGGACTACGCTCTTCCGCAAGCTTCAACAGGTTCTCGCGGTTGATGCCCTTTGGATCGTAGAGCACACCGGAGCCATCGACGATGGCAATGGTGTCCTCCTGTGGACTCATCATGATTTCGTTGCTGCCAAGGTCACCGTCGGGACCACCAGTCTGCACCTTGGTAATGGGCGCCTGGAGCTGCAACTTGCGCTGGATGCCCACCACGTACTCGCGCACGCTGTGAGTAGTCATGCCGTACACGTCGTGGGGAATGCCACCACGTGAAGCCGACTTGCCCGTCGTAATGGCCTTCCAGTACGAGTAGCCACGCTGCTTGGCGTGCGAACTGGCCCAGTCCATGAGATGGGCTGTACCTTCGTCAGGGCCGAGGAACAAAATGTCTTCTTCGGGCTCTGTCATCAGCATGAGGTCGAGCACGGCATCAATGTACTTGCGAAACGCAACGTCGGCCTTGTCCTGGTGAGCCTGGTTGAGCAACACAACGCCTTTCGAGCCACCTTCCGGGATGTCCTTGTTCTTGCGATGCTGCGTCGACGCGAGACCGTAGCACTCGTCAAAGAGCGACGAGGCGTTGTTCAGATACACCTGAGCGTGCGACGACCGGATCATGCGGATGCCGCCTCGAGCCACGTCGAGGAACCGCACGTGGAAGCCACGAAACTCCGAGCCGATCACGTAGATAATGGCGTGCGGCTCGTCGGGGTACTCGGTCTTGCTGAGGAACTTGCCATCGAGGCGGAAGCTGAGAGCTGCCTTGTCATTCGCAAAGAAGTTTGTCTTCCGGATGTGTTTGTTGAAGACGTGGAACAGCGAAAAGATCTGCAGCGCCTGCTCAGCTACGATCGACTTGCGCAGCACCGACAACGTGGCGCCCGTGTCCACTTGAGGCGACTCGGTGTCCTTCGTTGGTCCATGCAGAGCCTCGAACTCAGCGTACAACAGCTTGACAATGTCGGCCGAGCTGAGGAGATGGTCGAGGATCTGCGACTCAGTGTACGTGTTGAGCTTCATCGTCGAGCGCAGCTGATCGAGACGAGCGAACGCGCTCGGGTCGCGGTCGCGCAATGACTTGCTCACGATGGCAAACGACTCGGGCAAGCGGCGCATGAAGTGAAACGTGAACTTCCAGGCCGCGTAGGCATAGGCGATCTGCTGTGGCGTGAGCAGACCGTCCGTGAGCATGGGCGTGAGCGACGTGCGCGGAAGCGTAAAGTGCATCGACGCGTCGTTGACCACGGCAGCAAGTCGGTCTTCGAAGGAGCCTTTGCCAGCACTCGGGTTGTCCAGCATCTGGAGGTAGAACGTGTAGATGACAATGCCATTGGCAAAGAACTCGGCGTACTTGCGCTGCGAAAAGAGGCCGTGCTGGCGGTAGACGTCCGCGATACTGGAAAAGTACGAGTGCGTGGCGCCAGTGCGGTAGGCAATGGCGAGCCGCGCCATCTTCGAGCCATCGGCTTCGGTCCAGACTTCGGCGTGGAACGCAGGCGTCATGTGGGCCATGGCTTTCACGATGCACTCTTGGTACACTTGCTTGAGACGGTCCCCTGAGCGCTCGAGGAAGACTTTGTCTGCGACTTTGTGGATGTCCGTCTCGTGCTCGCTCACGTTAGGGTCAGCAAACTGCGGCTCTTGCAAAAAGTACATGCGCACGTGGTACGGCACCGAGAGCGGGTCGAGCACACCGCTCGAGCGGTAGCACTGCATGCGGTACGTGCGTCGCTTGGTCGCTTCCGCCTTCTCGAGGTGCTGGTATCCCGCGCGCACGCCGTCGCCAATGACGCCGCTCGAGCCACTGAGGTAGTGCTTCTCCAGGCGGCGCTCGAGGACTTCTGTCTCTGTAATACCTGCGTCGTAGCGCGCCGCACGACGACTGGGCTCACTGGCACTGCCCACGACGTTGCTCAGGACGGCAAAGAACGCGCCATGGGCGGTCTCTTGCTCGAGCTTGACGTCCGGGCGGTTCGACGCCTTGGACATGAGCTTGGCAGCAATGAGGCTCTGAATGTGCTGCGCAATCACGAGCGGCGACTGCCCGAGGAAGTAAAAGTCGTGGAGGCCTAAGGGGCCGTAGAACCACTCGACTTCGCTCGTCACGGCGTCGTCGTGGAAGACATTACTCGCGCGAATGAGCGACTTAACTTCCTCCATTTGGTTCGACGTGTCGATCTTGCGGGCCACGCCCATGTCCATCGAGCGGCAGTGACGTAGCTGCGCGCGCGGAGACGTCTCGTGAGTGCTCATGGCGGTCGAAGGGGAGGCGAGCGGCGAGGAGAGACAAACGAGCGAGAAAGCGGTCGAGCGACTACGGCGGAATTGGTGTTGCAGGGAGCACGCAAAAAGGAGAATGAGGTCCAAAAGCATCGACAAAGTGCGTGGCGGATCGCGGAGCGAAGAGCGGCGTTCTGATTGGCGGAACCACCTTCAACATCCGTCGCGTCGACAGCGTCGACGGGCTCCTGTCGTGTGCGTCCGAAACGGCCGGCGCGTCGAAAGGACTTGAGGTTTGTATGGGCTACGCGAGGCCTGCGATCGACCTGTCACATGGAACGCCGCGTGATGATGAGCCTATCGTCACTTGCGTGCGAAAACGGTGGGTGGTCATTGCGATCTGAGAGAGGGAAGAGAGAAGATTGACATGGGGCAGCGAGGAGTCTGTGTGGTTACCAGCACGTTCTGTAGAGGGCAAATGGTTACTAGCACGTTCTGTAGACGGCAATTGGTTGTAGAGGGCAATGTGTCGAGGCAATGCAGCTATCGTATCTGCTCTACGGCGGGCCATCTGCATGGACCTTGACGTTGCAGTGTCTGGAAAAAGGACCGCTTGAACCAGAGCAATCGCAACGTATGGGAGTCTGGAAAAGGCCGGGTCACACGGGAAAGGGTGGTGGACAAGACGCTGTTTACCCGTGAATCTTCCAGTATGGGTGTGAGCGCTGGACTACACGATACTCGGATGTGACAGACGCAACCGTGGAACGCGGCCAAGTCTTTCATCACGGCAGCAGCCCTTCGACGTGGTAAACAATTGATTCGATGCAGCATCGAGTGATGGAGTGAAAGTCGCAGCAACAACGCAATTCTCATCTTAGCTGTACTCGGATGAAGTGCCGCACGAGATTGCGGCGCGTGGGGGTATGTGTACATGAGACGATGTTGATGCCAGTGCATCACGACAGTGTCCACCGCCACTCTCATCTTCTGCGCGCATGTCCAGTGGTTCATTTTGGCGCGCCCGTCGATGGCCGCGAGTGCGATATGCATGCAGGTTGTAGCTGTCGAGTGAGTCAGATATGAACCCTTGCGCTGTGGTTTCCACCTAGAAAGATTCGGACGCCTTCGGACATTCGCTCGGCTTGGCTTTCGTGCATCAACGACGTCTGTCGACACGCTTGTGCGACAAATCTCGGTGCAACACAGCAGCACATGTGTTGCAGAGACGCGATACTCCGTGACACGAAAGCGCAATGGCTTTGGCCTTGGCGTCTCACCGGATAGACGGCGCATTCTGTGAATCGATCAATGTACAGCCCAAGCTAAACGCGTCTACTGCTCGGAGAAGCAGTAGCTGCCTACGCATATAGCAGTCGCCGTCCAAGCAATGGGTAGTCTTCCTACAACTAATCGCCCAAAGCTTCCAGTCAAGCTCAACGTGCCATCTTCACTACCACGTGACTATCTACTACCGCATGCAGCCCCTTCCTCTCGCGTCGTATCCAACTTCATTGTCTTCTGCACACTCAGCAGTTCACATTGCGTTGTTCTGTCGGCACCAGTCAATGCGTCAATCCAGCACAAGTCTGTCTTGCTCAGCATATACCTCCACACCAGCCACCACACTTCTCGTGCACATGGCTACACGCCATGTGCTTCCTCCTTGTATCCCCTTTTTGCTCGTACTTAAGCTGTCTCCGCCAGTCATTTCGCCGCAGCCACTCCGTCCCTTCAGTCGCAGTATTCCATGGCGTCGTACCAGCTCCGGCGTCTCTTTGGCGGCCTGCGCGTCAACGCCGGACAGACGGTCCGTCGCGGCCTCGAGGACTTCTTCCCCGTGCAACAAGCGCTCCACGAAGGTGCGAAACCCGACAGCCGCACGAAAGTACCTGCGAGCGTGGGCTCCAAACAAGTGGTCGTCGGGGGCGACTGGAAAGCCTGGATGCTGCGCGAAAAGAGCACGGAGGACCTGCACAAGCTATGGTTCGTGCTGCTGAAGGAGCGCAATGCACTGCTGACGGAACTGCAGCACTGCCGCGCCAAGAACATGGCCATGGCGAACCCGTATCGACGGACGAAGGTCAAGAAGTCGATGGCACGGATCAAATTGGTGCTGCACGAACGCAGCCAGATTTATCAGGCGAATAAGGCCAAGAAGGCAGCAGAAGAGGCTGTGGGAGCGATGGAGCAGTAGAGAGAGAGAGAGAGAGAGAGTGAGAGAAGGAGTGTGAGGGAAGCAAATGGACGTCGAGACGAGCAATACAGGACGTTCGGGAAAACAGTTGTGGCTGTAGCGTACGCTGAGACCTGCAGAGTTGTCTATCTACTACTTTGACAGGTCGGCTTATCGTTGTTGTTTGCGTTTATCTCGGCTGCTTCGTGTGTCGACAAGACGTTGTCGCAGTCACATTGGTAGTAAGAAGAAAGAAGGGCTCCTGCACTTGATGCGATCCACCGGTCTCGCAGAGTCGTTTGATATCGCCAGTAGCTCGAATACTATGCGATAAGCTGCAATGGTCTGGAATGTACTGGTGCTGCTAGCAGGTGACTGAGGCGCAACTACGCACCCACACATAACTCTGCTGCTGACATTGGAGCACGGCACACTTGTTCGTTAGCGCTTTCCAGCTCGAGGACCAACTGCTTGTTTCACCACAAGAGGCTTCACAACTGGAGAAGCCAAAATGAGGACTTCCTGCTTATCTGAAGCTCCCACTCGAAGAGCTCAATGTCAACTTTGTGCTAGAGCGCACGTTGATTCTCGCTAGAAGAACAAGCACTCGCGGAGCTCTGCTGTCATGACTACCGTGTGTGGACAACAGGACAACAAGATTTAGTTGTACATGCGTTTCCATTGCGAGGCCTGATAGAGAGCCAGGAGATGAAGAAGCATGATCCTCCTGGACAACAGCAAGATACGGGTATGATGACCCTGGATCAGATCAAGTTGACTGCATCTGCGAGCGAACGGCGTTGCTTAGCACAGCGGCTATTGCATGACCATCGCAGTGAGCTAATGCAGACCCCACTTTCTTTGACACTTCTGTTTCCAACGCCTTGGGCTTTGTGAGCGACTTGAGGCAGACCCTTCAGGGGATACACTACTGCTCTACCTCGGATTGCCAACTGCCCATGGGCTGCCAGATCTCGACATACAGTAGTGCAAGGAGCGCTGTCGGAACGAGTTTATCGGTCGGGTAGATTTCAAGCTCGTGCTCTGACACTTCTTTCCGCTAGTACAGCTTAGCATTCGCGTGGCCGTTTCGATCCTAGACAACTGGATCTGGATTCGCGGATTCTTTCCAATCTAATGGACTCTGCTGATCCAGTGGTATGCCACAGCAACAGGGTCTGGCACTTACGCCGTCATAGCCGTCTCCGTTAGACCTAAATGCTATGCGACGCTGTTGTTTAGCGCAAAAAAAACTTGTGCGGGACGTTGCGACACTGTTCAGACGTGGATATGGTGTGGCCCTCACAGGTGCGATGGGGTTTGTGCTACTATGAGACACAATATCGCCTGCCGCGGGCAACATGAAGACCTTGCCCATATCATCTGGGACTGCTCGGGAGCGCAATTATGCTGGACCTATATCGTTTCCCAATGGTCGAGATCACTCGTCACCGAAGGTCAGCTCCATCGGTACAAGCAAGCGGCTTTGTTCAGACAGGCCGTCGAACTCCCTACATGGGCACGAGCGGACATTACGCGCCGTTTTCCCGACAACGCTGACAGCGTCAGCCGCATATGGAAACAGATCTGGTGGATTGCGTGTTCGGTCTGCGTCACCATGCTTTGGATTCAGAGGAATCGAAGTGTCCACAATCAGGACAGCATGACGCCGGAACAGGGTGTCGCCGAAGTGCGGTCCATCCTTGTGCAACAATTGCGCGCTGTAGCAATTAGGACACAACGGCATGGCGCAAATCGAGCTGCTGGCTCCTTCTTTCAACCGGCAGCGGAATTGTTCCTGGACACCGTCGCACATCGGACGCTGCACTTGGAGACCCTCTCTTGCCGCCCCGGTCATCAGCTCGTAGGGGTTAGCGGAAGCATCGCGTGGCGATCGGAGGGAAGGCGGCGCCAACCTCAAGCGACGTCCTCATTCTCGATGAGCCGGTAAATGGTTGTTGACGCTCGTTCGACACTTGTTGTGATGCGCGGTGTGCAGTCGATGGGGTAGTTGACGTCGAGCGGTTTCTTGCCGCGATCCATCTGTGGCTGTGCTCTTACTTGCGAAGATTCTTCTTCTTGATCGTAGATCTTTGTTGCCGTCCTGCCTTGGCCAACAAGCAGACGTGTGCCTCCTCCGCATCCTCATCTCTTGTCTGGCTCCCACTTCGATCGTAGAACTCTATCGCCATACCGATAGGTATCCCGAGCGTCCCGTATTTGGCCGACAGTTGTCCATCCTCTCGCATACAATGTGCAATGTGCACGGCAATTACAGATAGAAAAGAGGCAGTCAAAACTACGCTACTGACGTGCTCCTCTCGTTCGCGTGGGGCAACGAGCCAACTTGTCGTGCAGGCAAAAGTGTTGCGGGTGTTGCAAGTTATTCGTCACATGTGCAAAGGCAAAGCTGATCATGTGGAAAGCGACTCACTCGACATACTGTCCGTCTATGATGGACCTCACCCCAAGACATGTGCTCGTCGGTCAAATTCATATGTTAGTAAAGAAGCAAAGAGCGGTACATGCGATTGAGATGTCCCGCGGTGGACTAATCGAGACGGGAAAGACGTTCGTGATAAGCAATGCGTATATTCTCGTAGTGTCCTTCTACATAAAGACAGCCGCAACACCAGCAACGACGAGGACCGTAGTCGACAGCATTGCAGGCGTCATCGCGCTCGACACCACCGGGACACTTGGGGCAGTGGTCGCATTGTTCGACGCCCCGGGCCTCATGGAGCCAGCGGTCGAGTTCGGAGCAGTCATGTTCGACATAGTGGCGTTGCTGCAGACCACGTTGGCCCACAACGACGCGTTCGACATGGACGAGACCTCGCCCGGGTGCGAGAGCCCCGTGGACCAGAGCGTCACCGGGTTCGACGTCTGGTTCCACTCACAGCACGGGTCGCCGAGCTCCTGGCCGTTCGTCTGGCCGTCGCCGTCCGAGTCCATCATGCACAGCGACGTGACCCACTGCTCGCCGTCGGCTTCAAAGTCCTGACCGAAGGCGTTGCGGGCGCCGCCGCCCGACGGATCCACGTGGCCCAAAGCATTCACGCCGTCCACGTTGGCGCCATTAGGGATGCGAAAGACGTAGTCTGGTCTGGCGTCGACGGTGACAGTGGCCGCAGCCGCCGCGAGAACGAGCGAGAGAGCCGTACGGGGCATCATGACGAGCGGCGATGGAGTGGGGTGGAAAGGGATGGAGGAAGTGAGCGACGATGTGCGCGAATGAAGACGTTTTCGAAAATGAAGGAGGAGAAGGACAAACGGGTATGACGGTCGGCGTGCCGGTCTCCACGAGTGCTCTACCGCCGCTCCACGCGAACAAACGCCTGGACATGCGTGACTTGTCCAGCCGTGATTACGGCCAACGCAGGTGTAGGTCTCCGCGTCTCGCATGGCATTCGATGGTAGGACAAGCCCGTGAATGTACGGCGCGCCATTGCGGCTGGTCACTGTCCAACAGAAGGCCCTGTGCGGCTCGAGTTCGACACGGCGGCTTCGCGCTCGCACCGGTCCTTTGCAAACCACCTGCAGGGATTTGTCGACTGGACGGACACATAGAAGCGGTCGAAATCAGTGTGTGTCCGCTTCTTTCGGACCATGGGATCGCAGCCTGCGGAACGTGAGTGTCGCACGGTCGGCAGCGCTGGCAGCACATACTGAAGCGAAGCAAACTGCTGGTTCGCGGGGGGGGGGCCGGACGGACTTCCGGCGCAGACAGAGACGAGAGCAATTCACGGTACAAGAACGTCGCAACCCGCGCCGATGGGATTAGCACGCCTTGTGACACCGCGACTTGAAAGATGTAAGACCTCGTTCGTTCCTGTCTATGGCGCAAGGCACGTTCGAGACCGAGTGTCCGTGCCCATTGTTTCGTGGCAATTGGAATGAACGTGCATGGAGCTGGTGGACTTATCCGTTCGCGTGTGTGCACGGAGCAAGAGCGAGAGGGATTGTTGAGGACTTGACGTACATCAGCTACTACGGCGATCAAAGAGCTGCAACTGGGCACAGTGGACGTGCAAGTTCGGGTCCCCGATCCACTGCGATGGTGCCACCCGAGACCTTGTGTCTAATTAGTATTCAGCTGCTTGAAAAATCCACAGGTTCATCCATATGTCGAAGCTCATGCTGGGGGTAGTGCAGCCTGTCCGACGGTAAGCGCGAGACGCAGCGTTGACGTAGCTGTGGCAGCTCTTGCGCCATCGACATCGAAGAACAGACCAGTGTTGGTCTTCAGCAAAACAGAAGCGGGAACGTCATGGACAGCCACTTTGAACAGGGGCAGAAGGTCATCTAGTTTCTAGTCTGAGAAAACGAGTGGTGAATGGGTAGGCCGTTGGCGATGCGCGTGGGTGCGCAACACTTGCTGTCCCGAAGCTCAACGTGTTACTGCGTGTGCGACGTGTGACTTGTCCCTCACCTCTGCCCCGAGTGTCGTCGTCGCCACTACGGCCGATTCGACACAGCTGCCTCTATCTGTCTTTCGCCGATGGCTTCGCAGAAAAGAGCCGATAGTTCTTCGTGTTTAGCGTATGCGAAGCCGTCTTCTTTTCTCATGTAACTACAGACAGAGTAATGCTACGTGGACTTGCAGCCATACATGTGATGGCGTTGCAATGCAACGCGAGGCGTATGTGAGAATCGTTGCGCCATCTCGAGCCATTGCATCTGTCGTACGCGAGTAGCACGAGCTACGCCGCTTCACTACGAGTGGAAGACTTGGTGTCCTGCTTGGAGTGTCGGAGCAAGTGTGGGCACTTTTGGCAGAGAGAAACGTTGGCCGTATTGTCAGAGCACTGACGACGTTGACAATGCGCTTGACAGTTCGTAGCATTGTTTGTATTGTGAGCAACATCGCGGGCAGAAGGGCATGTGTGCACGTCAGAAGCGGCAAGACTTGCGGATGGCTACTGCGGTCCCACCTTATTGTCCGTGATTGCATTGTTCAGGCGCGCTGTACCTAAGTGGCCGCCTTGAGTATGGGCGTGGGATAAGTGCTGTGAAAGCAGTCGTCTCCGTCGCTGACGACAGCTTTTCTGGCGCAGCAATCGACGATGAGAGCTATCGACTGGAACTCTTATGTTTGTGCCCTCTTTTGTTTGCCGATAGATGGAGGAAGAGGGCAGGAAGGTGCTGCGCGACACGTTCACCAGCCGATGACCACAATTTATGGGCTTTGATACTGAACCTTGCACAGAGAGCTCATCGTCACTAGAAAATGTATGCACGCCGAACAACTTTGACCGGTTGTGCGTTGACCTATCTTCGAAACGAAGCCGAGCGCTGTTTGCGTGACGTAGGCTGTCGTCCATCACCACGAAGACATTTACGAGTGGCTCGCACTGCATCTACGAGACTCCACGCACTCGAGTTGGTGCGATGCCAGAGAGTACGTTAATATTGCAGCAAGCTTTTTGACCGTGTGCAACAGGGTGGAGGGCCCGTAGCCTGATATCGACGTTGTATTCGACATCATTATGGATTGGTTTCGTAGCAAGTAATAGATCGACGGTGTCACATCAGAGTAGGACATGTGGCTGTATTTGACGACACGGTGCTCATCCGTTAATATGCAAGCCATGTTATCACCCGTCATCTTCTGCTATCCAGACGTGACGCACGTCCCCGAATGATGAGCAGGACGTATAGCTACACATTTGTAGCTTACCATCGTCAAAGCAAGGTTTGGTGCAGATCATGCATACACTATTGTGCACAAACTTATAGCATCTCTTTTTACATTCAACGATGTTTTACTTCCAGTTAATTGCGCTTTCTTCTGCACCAAGGTATACGTAGAGTGCAATGTAGTTGTCTCTACGCGCTGGCAGTTCAGCTAGTTCGTATTATACCTGTGTCAGCGAAGTGTATCTTCTTCCACCTGGAATATTTTGTGGTCCTTTCAGCGACCATGACACGTCCGCCGTGGAACGGTTTCACGCTATTACCTACGTATATACTGCAATTTGATTGCATCCAATGGACTGGAAAATCAGATGGTCGTACCAGCTGACCGCGCCATCGTCGTAGCCGCGTGGTGTACCATTGGCGGTAATAGACAACAACATGCCACGTTCGTTGATCTCAATCAGCACAAACTTGATGCGCTATAAAACAATACCCATGCTGCAAAAGCACGGGGCTTAGCAGCGCAACCCGCCGAGGAGTTTAGACTTCCAACAAGACGACTCAGAAATTCAGCACACCTCGCAACAATATGTATAAATTTTGGCGACTGGTAGCAGGCAATGCTCTTGCCGGGCTGATCAACGATTGTTAGCTCATGTTCATGCATATAGATATCTCCGATTAGATGCCAGTCGGATGATGCAGTTCCTTGTTACTTTAATTTGTTAAGCTCGTCCAAACTTCATGATAGATTGCCGCATTATAGACGATTAGACACAGGTTACATATGGCATGTCGAACCTGACGTGACGTGCTAGCTCGTTTTACAGCGCCTGAAGGTTCAAGAACCACAGACCATACATCATATACTATAGATCGTACAATAATTTCAAGGCGCGATGTGGTCCACCGGCTGAGCTGCTACGTGCCGTATATAGGGATCAGGCTGAACTCTTGGACTCGAAGCAGGGCAAGCGTAATGCACACGCTTCGGCTCATCGAAAACGAAATCTCATGAGCTCGATCGCTTGTAAGTCCACATATGAACAGACAGAGGTTGATGTGTACATCAAGGCATAAGGGATGTCCCTGTTGAGGCCGAACTGGTCACCAAAAGCTGGTAGCGCATATGCAAGCGATCTCTTGGCGGAACAGAACACTTCTGGTCCAACTTAATCTCAGATAAACTTTTTGTCCAATTGTCTACCCATTCAACAACTTCAAGGGTCGGCGCTAGACTGCAGCGATAGGCTGATCAATACAAAAGTGAACGGATCTTTTCTTGTTGTTACTATCAATGCCCTGCTAGGTGTAAACACTATACCGAGTAAGGGTAAACAACGAAGGCAAGACTAGTTGTAGAAAAAGTAAAATTGTTATTTAATACAATCAACTGTTATATCTATCGTTCTCTGTTCTGACTTGACTTGGTTATACTAATATAAATATACGTATGATGGCGCCTACATACCACCCATTGCGCGCGTCTAGCAGCGATTGGTTGGTTGATATAGACACAATATCAGTCAATGAGTAGACCCTTCGGTCATCCCAACAATATCACTGTCCTTCGTGATATTGATATAAGAACATTCAACGTAATATTCTTTGTTACCATCTTCTTCTGAATGACAATTTCATGCAACGGGCTCCCCGTTACATCACCTTCCCTCAACTGATATTCACCGTATGACTATCGAAAACTTGGTGGCCACCCGTTGGACACCAGTGGGACGGGCAGCACTTGTCTGGGAACATCCATTTATACTTGACCTTACCCGGCATAGTTAACATGTCTATGCGAGGTGATTCGAAGACCACACAGCCTGCTGCTGTGCCAGCCTCTGCAGCAGAAGGTGCTGCAGACGCACGCGGTATCGCACCACGGGCACTTGATGACCTTGTCCATGAGGTCATCAATTCTGGCGAGTCAGACGTGCCTGACTCGCGCAACGTTCCAGAGGCATCCCGATCGCCGGCGGTGCCTCATCGTTCGTCAAGAGCACTGTCGAATGAGCGGACTCGTGAAATGCAACACAGTCTGTTCGGCAGTGATGATGAACTCTATAGTGAGGAATACTATGCCTCACCAGTATCAATTCGTGCTTCCCCGCAAGAGCGTGATGACGATGGCGAGAGCCGTCGTCTTTCTGAAAGATGTGGTACCGAAACAGGTACCACTTTGAAGCGTGGTGAGCTCAAGCCGTGGCACTTGCCCAACCAGATCACCGATAGCCTGTCTCACGAGACACGCCAGCATCATCGAATTCCATTATTCGATGCATCGTAGCTTTATAGGTAGGACCCAGCGCGAGAAACTTTCGCGCTGAAGAAAACTTTTACCTCGATGTCTCCCTTAGGCATCGATGGTACAATGGCAACCAAAAGCGTGACAAGAACTCGCTTTTGGCAGCGTGGAACGCGTTCGTCCAAAACGTAAAGAATTTCGGACGAGAAGGGTGGCTCAAGAAGCTTGAGGCAGTACGCCTCAGGTCCGAAAAGCGAACGCCAACCGGTGCTAGGTACCGGTT